TTATTTGGATTAAGAAATTATTATTATCTGACGATACCATCAGTTTTGTATTGAAAAAGTTATATAAAATAATTTTATTTATTAAATTATTACAATTGTAAAACATGGTGCCGACTTTGGGAACCTCTCATCCAATTATCGGCATGGCTAAATTAAGCATTTCAGAGGTTAAAAGAATTTAAGATTAAACCTAATTTTTCAATTATGTAAAATCACTTAAAACAGATTTTTTTATAAATTAATCGCTATTTAGAGCACTTATTTGACATTTTCCAATTTTGAGCCAAAGTGATCGAAAAGGTGCTTATTATTCACCCATATGCCGATAGGAAAACCTTAAAAATGTTTGTTCCTAAGGGCGGCATTAATAAAAATATGATAATTACAAATATTTTTTAATGATTTAAAATTCTTTACAATTACGAAAAAGATCCTGGTGAGAAATATATTATTTTAATATATTTACAAGTCTTTTGAAATCGACATGCCCACTAATTTTTTCTCAAGAAACTTGAGTTATCGCTAGTGATGACAGACCTCATTGACCAAATACAAAATTTTGACTTATGCCATGTTCTGACGGGCATCCGAACAACGTAGTTCGCTCTCAGAATTACGTACATGAATTAACCCGTTCATACAACACTATTCATAATTCATATCATCAGAGTTTTTTATTTCAAACTTTTTGTTTCTTGTTTTACACCAAATATGTAACATATTTTAGTGAATTACATAGGGATCTAAATAGAAAAAATAATTCTCTTTCTCCTGACTATAGTATGAACCCATATCTATTTACTTTTCATTCATGTTTTCCATTTTTTCTGAAAATGTTGTTGTTTTTAATACATTTTTATATTTTCTCAATTCAAATGTCACATACTGTCACAAATAAAATTTTGGGGAATTTTTTGTTTGAGTTGCCCCACATTTGTTTCTTGTTTTGTACGCTAATTAGAACCAAGGGAAAAGAAATGCATATTGCATTATATAGAAAACAAAATTTACATCCTGCTGCATATATAAAATCTATACAATTTTTTACTTTTCATTCATGATTTTCAATTTTACTGAAAAAGTTTGAAAATTTCATAAATATTTTCAAACTGTCAAAATTAATTTATTTTCGATAAATACTCTCAATTGTTAGGGATGGGACAAATTTATTGGTTATTCAGAGAGTGATTCGAATTGAACAACGTACAAAAGTCGGTGTTCGCTCAGACAATTTTGTATGGGGAACTAAGTAATTCCTTCATAATTAAGGGTCGAACAACGAATGAGAGAGCGAACAACGCTCGTCTGGACATGGCATTAATAAATGTAGTTAGCTCGATTAAATTTTATACAGAGAAAATTGAAATCGACATGCCCACCAATTTTTTCTCAAGAAACTTGAGTTATCGCTAGTGATGACAGATCTCATTGACCAAATACCAAATTTTGACTTAATAAATGTAGTTAGCTCGATTAAATTTTATACAGAGATAGATAGTTATAGAATTTTTTAGTTATTTGAAGTTATATAAAACATATGCCGACTATTGATACATGCCGGAATTAGGTTCGTTTACTCTATATAATATACAATGCAAAATAAAGCCAAATTGTAAATTCAATGGCCAATAGTTGCAACATATTCTCTGAAACACATGCTTATTTAATAATATGAACATGTTGAATATTAAATCTGCATTATTCCATGGCTATTAAAATATGAAAAACACTCTATAACTAAATTCTTATAAATAAACTTATAAATTAGTTTAGTTCTAGCCGGGATTATATATAAATATATACAAAAATATTTCGTCAGTAAGATTTTATATCAAATTCATAATGGAATGAAACCCTTCCTGCAATTCCACATTTGGAATTGACTAATTCTGAAATATTTGTGTTAAGGTCCGTAAATACATAACATTTTTGTATTTGTATAGTAAACTAGCTGGCCCGGCAAACGTTGTTTTGCCTTATCAATATTGCATCAATATAAGGTTGGTAAAAACCATTTGCCACTAAGTTTATGTCAATAAAAAGTATTAACTACTAAATTATTATGTGCTTAATTTAGTAGAACTTATTTCACCAAAGGTTTTCTTCAATAGAAGATCACATTTTATTATTGCTCCAACGTTTTTACATTATCTTATTTGTCCCTTCTTGAAGGATTCTTAATTACAATATCATTTTCTTCATTTCCAACTGTTCTATTGATTTGTATATTTCTCGACTTTTTGATGTTTTTCTCAACATTTTCTTGGAAAACCCTTCCCAATGCAATTACAAACAGCCGAAGGAAAACTTGAGTGAAATCGGTACAGTCAATATACCATGCAAACGTTATTCACATCTTTAAAAATACATTTGAGGAACCATAAAGGCACATATAGGTTAGACACAAACAGCATGTAATGCGGAATTGCCTCCATGTAGGATTCGAATTTAAATGTATTATTCCCGAATATAAGAAAATGTTCAATAATACCTTCGTTTCATTGAACTGTATTGAATACTTTGATATACGTTTTCGTTTACTAAAACATAAAAACATATGTCTATGTATTGGCAATTTCCTCAAAAATATTCCTGGTGGTGTTTCCTATTAAGGACACGATCACGTTTCGGTCAGTGGCCCAAATTGCCTTTAATTCGGTATTCCACATTGGGTAAGAAACTTCCCTCATAATTGCCGGTATAGTTTTTGGTACAGGCTCCACATAATGGAACCACTTAATCGGTTCGATATAAAACGTGTGGAAAAGCTAATATCTTTCAAAATATATTTTGCAAAATTTTCGCGGATTTTTCTCAAAATGTTCTTACATCAAAACCTTTCAACTTCAATTACAGACTACTAACAGAAACTTTAAGGCAAATCGGTCCAGCCGTTTTTTTAAAATAATTTTTTCGCGGATTTTTCTCAAAATTTTCTTTCATAAAAACCTTCCCACTGTAATTACCGGTCCAGTCGTTCTCAATTGATGCGTTAGTATACAATTTTCTTACTCCATTTTTATATATAGATTAAATTTTAACTAAATGGAAAAAATATTGAAAAGGCCATTTAAATTGCAGTAATATTAACAATTAATTTCCAAAGTACCTACATTTGTTATATTTTTTTGTTATCACTTTTTGCATTTCACGTAACATTTGACGCAAGAAACGAACATCTGTTGTGTGCGTGTGTGTGACGCTCATGCAAAACAGAAAACATGAAAATCAATTTGTTTGATAGGAATTAAAGTAACAACACAACAAAGAAATTAAATAAACGCATATATTTACAACATTTTTAGTTAAAATATCTGCAACGCTCCTACTACTATTAATGTATTAGTTCTTTGCAAAATTATTAATCAATCAGATTAGCTACAACTAAACTGTCAGTGTTCATTATTAGTATATTCCCCCTTTTGACGTAACCTTTTAAGGTTATGTTGAAGAATGTGAATATACTGCAAAAGAAGATGAAAAAGAAAAACAATGCTAAGATATATTAGCTACAATGAATTTTGTAATCATTTGCATACATTGTATGTACAATGGATTCTTTATATTTTAGAAATTATCAATAAAGCTGCACGGATTTTCCCCAATATTATTGTTCCCATAACACTATCATACAATTAGGAACATACATATGTACATACAAATCAAATTGTTACTACCAATGTTTTTAGTTAGTAAACAAATAATGCCGGATGAGTATCTAAAAAACAAGATTTTTTCCTGAAAATGTTTCAACTCTTCCCTAGAAAAACTCATGTTCTTATAAAGCCTACGGCTTATTACTTTTTCATATAACAGCTTTAATGTATTTCGGAATCTGCAGTATGTATGCGGAAAATAACTTCACTTGTAGGAAAACAACTTTGCTGTTTCTTCAACAATATTTTCGAAAATTCAATTTAAGTAAACTATATGTTTTTAAATCCAATTAGTACATACATAAATATATACAAGCCGAAATGATTGCCCCACTTTCCCCTATCCAATAACAAATTGCAGTCTTGGTTCATGGGAACTTCTAATTTCTGCAAACTTTACTTATACTATATAAATAAATCCTATTATTGCTGCTTTAGATTCCATTTACTGAATCACTTACGTATTTGCCTACAAACGAAAAATATTTGTGTAATAAAAATCTGTTCCCTTTAGTAAAAAAATCAATCAATAAACAATCTACATGTGTAATATTGTCCACATTTATAGCAGGGTATAATTTCAGATTTAAAAAAAATCGCCTTTAATCGCCCGCAAAACAAATTTAGGCCAAAAGTTGAAAATTAAAAAAAATAAGACTTTAGAAAAAAATATTTGTAAACATAACTATTAACCCGACTTTAACCTAACATTGTTAAAATTATACGCTTATTTCCACGATTGCTTCCTTACTATCCATTCTTTTGCATAATAAGTGCTAGTAAGTTCTACTAATCACGTAATAGGCATTTCATTGCATGATACCCCATCATAATTAAAGATAAAAAATCTACTCGTTGCAACATTTGGAAATGTACCAAAATTGTTCCTACACCGGCTTTATAGATTGAAAAAATAACAATGCCGGATACGCCTTTGTTACACAACAACTAAATTTTGCACTACTTGTAATTTGAAATAAATTGCATTTTTATATAAAAGATTCAACATTCCCTTGTATTTTCTTCAGAAATACTAACTGAATATTTGCAATCGAATAAAAAATATATATTTTCTTTAATATTTATTTCATCAAAAATTCTATTCATCATATGATTTCACATGCCAAGTCCCAGTTTTACCATGTTCGTTCACTTCTAAATTCATCAACACACACACACACATATTTCCCCCATCACGCGTACACACACTCACTCACACATGCCTGATACACACAAATGCCGACGACAGAAAAGAAAAAGTTCAAAGTAGTTGGTTATGCAACACCACATCTAATATGTAATCCACAATGAAAATTTTTTGGAAAAATTAAAAGTCCAGGAGGATTTTTTTTTGTTTTTTAGTTTTTATTATGATTTTCGTTTTGTTTTAGCATACATTTTTTCTGTTTCCGAAGATATTATAATCATGTTTTATCAGCACTTTAAGTTAAATAACATTTCATTTTTCTCTTACGAAATCGTTTTAAACGAACAATTACAGATTGAGGAAGGTTTTCCAATTGTCTGATGGCAGCAATCCTTCGGGCTATGTTGTATTTTAATTCAATTATTGAATTATAACTGTGTTGTTGGTTGTTTTTTGTTCTAGAACTAATGTTGATTTTATAGGTTATGTTGAAGAAGATGGTAATGGTGACGACGCTTAAGCGGCTTCCTTGGCGAGACGCTCGGCCTTTTCGACGACTTCTTCAATGGGGCCAACCATGTAGAAAGCAACTTCGGGAAGGTGATCGTATTCACCAGCCAAGATTTGGCTGAAGCCCTTGATGGTTTCTTCGAGGGGCACCAATTTACCGGCATGACCGGTGAAAACTTCAGCGACTTGGAAAGGTTGGGACAAGAAACGTTGGATCTTACGGGCACGGGCGACAGTCAATTTGTCTTCTTCAGACAATTCATCCATACCCAAGATAGCAATGATATCTTGAAGGGACTTGTAATCTTGCAAGATCTTTTGGACACCACGAGCAACGTTGTAGTGAGTGTGGCCAATGATGTTGGGATCCATAATACGTGAGGTGGAATCAAGAGGATCCACAGCTGGGTAGATACCCAATTCGGCGATAGCACGGGACAATACAGTGGTGGCGTCCAAGTGAGCGAATGTGGTGGCTGGGGCAGGATCAGTCAAATCGTCAGCAGGTACATAAATGGCCTGGACAGAAGTGATGGAACCCTTCTTGGTGGTGGTAATACGTTCCTGCATAGAACCCATATCAGTGGCCAAGGTTGGTTGGTAACCGACAGCAGATGGAATACGACCCAACAAGGCAGATACCTCAGAACCAGCCTGGGTGAAACGGAAAATGTTGTCAATGAAAAGCAATACATCTTGGCCTTCTTGATCACGGAAGTATTCGGCAACGGTCAAACCAGTCAAAGCGACACGAGCACGGGCGCCTGGGGGTTCGTTCATTTGACCGTAGACAAGAGCTACCTTGGAGGTCTTGTCCTTAAGGGAAATGACACCGGATTCAATCATTTCATTGTACAAATCGTTACCTTCACGGGTACGTTCACCGACACCAGCGAATACGGAGTAACCACCATGAGCCTTGGCGACATTGTTGATAAGTTCCATAATCAATACAGTCTTGCCGACACCAGCACCGCCGAACAGACCAATCTTACCACCCTTGGCGTAGGGAGCAAGCAAATCGACGACCTTGATACCGGTAACCAAGATTTCTTGTTCGACGCTCATGTCCACGAATTCGGGGGCTTCAGCGTGGATGGGGGCGGTCTTGTCGGTGGGGATGGGACCACGTTCATCGATGGGTTCACCGATGACGTTGATGATACGGCCCAAAGTTTCAGCACCGACAGGAATACGGATTGGGTAGCCAGTATCGTTGACCTTTTGTCCACGAACCAAACCTTCAGTACCGTCCATAGCAATAGTACGGACAGTGTTCTCACCCAAGTGCTGGGCTACTTCCAACACCAAACGGGGAGAGCGGTTGTCAACTTCCAAGGCATTCAAAATTGGGGGCAATTGATCCTCGAATTGGACATCGACGACGGCACCGATAACAGCCACAATTTTGCCATTACCAACAGCAGCCTTAGCGGCAGCCTTGGCGTACTCGCGTTGGCTTTGGGCAAGTAGTGATATAACTTTCTTATCTGACCTGCTTAAGGCCGTACGTGCGGCAGAGAACATTTTCTCGATTTTTTTATAATTTGCCCGTAAAGAAAGTAATTAAGGTGAACGCGCTCCTGAAACAGATAATTTTCATAAAATAATATTAATATTTTTTGCAATAATTACTTCAGAAAAAATCAAAAGAATTTTTTTCACACAGCAGCTACCTCTTAACTTATGCACTCACCGATTACGAAACAGCAAATTTTTGCAGGCAATGTGGCCGTCTTCGTTTTCAACTTACAGGGCAGTGTTGCCGAATGTAAGAACCTTCGTTGCGGGTACCGTTTTTCTTGTTCGAAAAATGGCTGCCAATTCACAATATGATGACATTTGGAAATTTGGCCAGATCGTTACTAGACTTATTAGATAATCAGTTGAGGGGATTTTCGGATGGAATATTTTAGGGGATATTTCAGTGACCACGGATTAGTGTGTGGCAAATAGAATATATTTAAAGAAATATAATTTGCAAATAATAACAAATGGGATACATTTTTTATTAATTTAATAAAATGTTGTGAGATTTTAAAAATTACGATATTGGGTGAATATAAATTTTACAACCCTGTTCCATATTCAAGATTTAAAAACACAATTTAAACATCGTTACGTTCGGGACGATTTTTTATGCCCTCCACAATGAATTGGAAGCCCAAAAAACTAAAATCGAACGGCTTATTTATATGTGTAGGAATATTAGATTATTCAAACATGCAAAAAAAAACAACTTCAAATTACTGCTACCGTAGAAAGTAGACCAATATAGATAATTTTTGTGGACCCAAATCGAATCCAAAATATAAAATTGGGTAAAAATATTCCAAACTCCCAAAATTACCGAAAGAAATGTACCGTAATACACTGCGTATCATAACAATAGCCGCACCTTTAATTCAATTGGTATGTTAGTTGACAAATAAAATGGACCCATTAAGTTATGGTTGACAATAAAACGATCAAAAACACATATTATTCAACAAAAATAATTAATTTATTCTTTGTGGTTTCGCCGAATTCTGCACTTTCAAAATTACTGGTGTTGCATAACTATAGACGCACTTTTACAAAATTAGAAAAATTTATTTTTTTAAACTTAAATAAAATAACTTTTATAAATAATGGGTAGGCCCTCCCTTATTTTGAATAAGTTCAAAAATTTTATCCATCACACTGTTGATCAAAATTGTTCGCAAGTTTGCATCGATTGACCGCCATTTATCGATATCACTTCTTGGAGGTAAAATACAGTTTGGTATTGGCGGTTTTCTGCATAGACACGATGAGTCAAGATTCCACACATGTTATCGATCGGATTCTGGTCGGAAATTTTAATATTTTTCGCTTTTAACCATACTTGAGTATGGCGACTTTTATGAACTGGTGCGTTGTGCTGCTAAAAAACGAGTCCTTCATTGTTCTTGCTTTCCCAAAATGGCAATAATTTGTCTTCTAAGACTTGAACGTACTCCATTGAATTCATCCGACAACATGAAAATGTCAAATAAAGGCTTCCGTGGCTATAAAATGCTCCCAAGACTGATTCACGATATTTCTTAAAACGATATTTCGGTGGCGGTTCCCTTAATGGTCTTTGAAGCATATTATAGCCACGGAATGCTTTATTAGACATTTTCATGTTGTCGGATGAATTCAATGGAGTACGTTTAAGTCTTAGAAGACAAATTATTGCCATTTTGGGAAAGCAACAACAATGAAGGACTCGTTTTTTAGCAGGACAACGCACTAGTTCATAAAAGTCGCCATACTCAAGTATGGTTAAAAGCGAAAAATATTAAAATTTCCGACCAGAATCCGATCGAGAACATGTGTGGAATCTTGAGTCATCGTGTCTATGCAGAAAACCGCCAATACTGAACTGTATTTTACCTCCAACAAGTGATTATCGATGAATGGCGGTCAATCGATGAAAACTTGCGAACAATTTTGATCAACAGTGTGATGGATAAAATTTTTGAACTTATTCAAAATAAGGGAGGCCCTACCCATTATTTATAAAAGTTATTTTATTTTATTTAAGTTTAAAAAAAAATAAATTTTTCTAATTTTGTAAAAGTGCGTCTATAGTTATGCAACACCAGTAATTTTGTAAGTGCAGAATTCGGCGAAACCATAAAGAACAAATTAATTATTTTTGTTGAATAATATGTGTTTTTGATCGTTTTATTGTCAATCATAACTTTATGGGTCCATTTTATTTGTCAACTAACATACCAATTGAATTAAAGGTGCGGCTATAGTTATGATACGCAGTGTATAAGCGCTACTCTACTTACAACCAATTCGGTTGAGATAGTTCTCAAAATAACAAGGGGGCTATACAAAACCGAGGACCGATGACATTCATTGTCTGGTTCTGCTTCCTCTACCTCAAAATTCAAACAAGTTTCTACATGAACGGTTGCGTCCAAAGAGAATTCGGCGATAGACGAGTGAGCTTAGATGGGCGCAACGTGTCGTGTGGTCCTAGTCCACATGCAGGACATGATTTAGGTATCGAGCCGTCAATTTTTGCCCAATATGAATTGTGCAAGATTACCAATTATGGTATTTACGCAATATTCGTCTTCTCATGAAGATGGTCCACGGGAGTCATGAGGAGATACCTTGTTGCAGTTCTCAGGGCAGTATTCTAGTAGGTCTGGATATTCTTTTACTGCGTATCACGAACATTCTCGAACCATCGCCATAGAATTTTTCTAATCAAGAATATATACTTTATGGTATATCCGGAATTGTTATATATTTTTTATATCCCCCGCGTCTTAAATATTTCTTCCACTTTTTCTGCAGATGCACTTCCTGCGTTCTACGTAAAGTATTTCCTAAAGGCGGGGAAAAGTGGCAACTCCAACATTCACAATAGTATCTTCGAAATCATAGCTGCTGAAAATTTTCGACTGAATTAAAATCCACATATTTGGATACAACACTGCCAATAGAGTTGATTCTGCAAGATGCCGACTGAATTGACGCCGTTAAATACCAACCATTCAACTCCGTATTTCTCCAATAAATTATTCGAATTAGCCGCAAAATGTCTTCGAGTGATTTTGATAAAATTGATTTGGCATTAACTGAAAAATATGAAGCTGTAGTTAAAACTGCTCTGGAGCAATCCACAATTACAGACCTCAAAGATTTCTACAATGTTTATCACGATGAGAAAAAGGCTATCGATGAGGAGTGTGTCACTCCCACAAAGAAGACACCAAAACTAGAGAATTTTGCAGAAGTTTTTAAACTTTTAGATGTGCACCCCCCTAATTTGCAAAAATCTAAACCTAAAGCTCCACCAATGCGCGAAAGGGCCAACTCCACAATATCGCGGTCTTCAACTTCCTCTCTCAATGATTTGTCATCGAGCTCAAGCCAAAAGGACTCGTCGACCAGTTCATTGAATCTGGTCACCAAATATGAAGAGCCGCCTACCATTAAACCATCGGATACCTATAAAAATTACATTACATTCCAAAAACAACTTAAGCAAGTTCAGCTGGAATTGGAGCAACAATCCGTGGAGAAGGGATATGAAACAAAACTTAAGCAGTTGGGTCATTTTTCACAGCAACTGGAAAAACTTTTACCCTCGGACAAGGTGGGCCAGGCAGCACTGACCCTTGAAGAGGAAAAAATTCTAAGCGAATTGGTTGAGAAAATGGATGATTTGAATTTTATACGTACAAATCATGGATTGTTCTGCCAGGAAAATAATCCAATATTTAACAATTCACAAAGATTGGAAAATGTTATTGATATATTATCTCATTGTTTAATTGCTGCCAATTCTTTTAATGTAAATATGTAAACAAATAAATTACTACCTCTAGCCATAATTATTTTCTTTTTCCTCGTCATCATCGTCGTTATCCATTTCCATGTCCTGGTGCAATAGCATAGTTCTCATTTGCTGCACCGTATCCCAAATGGCCAATAATTTCCGAACATTGCTGCCCAAATATTCAGCCCTTTGGCTTGCAGTTTCCAGATAGTCTTCAAAATTTGTCCCTGTATCTGTGGTATTACCGGTATTCGATATACTCAGCAACTGTGTGAACTTATCAACTATTTTTGTTAGATCATTGATAGTTTCTTTGTTGTATGTGTATGGTTGAGACTTCCCATAGTTTTGCATGGGTTTAATTGTGCGAGATGCTTCTATCTGAAGTAATGCATTATTGGATTTCTCCAGGACGTCAGCCATTTGCTGTGACTGCATTTCCATGGAACTACGGCTTGTTCCTATAACGATTACATTTGGTTAGACAATTAAGGCAATCGTATAAAGTCTAGAACATACTTAGCTCTTGCAGAACTTTATCAATTAAACAATTTTGCGTGGACATAATTTCTGAATCTAATTGGTTGGGCGGGTATTTAAAAAAAAAAAAAAAAAAAACAGGGATACCTAGGTCGAATAATAGATTGTCAAAAAAGTACCCAAAGCTGATAAGCAATCAAGTACTCGAAATCTTGGTGTCTATGTAAACGCTACCAATGACATAAAATCATAAAGACCAATATCTATTAGTGTATGTGACCTTATTAATAGATCATGGCCATGACCCAATAATAAAATCGTCCGATAAGGCCAGATGATTTCACCCGAGCTGTCAAAATGCTTTCAGTTTTGACTTAGTAGTGACATGATATAGTATTTTTCGGTTAATTGGCCCTACGGTTAATTGGTTTCCACGCTTAATTGAACCACATGATGGTGCAAAAAATATTTCATACGAAAATACATGTAAATTTTCTGAGATAATTAAACCCTGTTAATTGATTTTCCCGCATAATTGGTTCAAAATTCATGTCATCAAAAATAAATTTTCCTTTTATTTTTCTCCGGTTAATTGCACAACAATAATTGAATAATAATCTGCCATTTTTTTACATATATATTTGACATAATTTGTGAAAATACTATGTTTATTGCTAAGGAAAAACTTCGAGAAAGCGTAATTTGTATTTGACAATGGATTTTTTTAAATCATTAGTAGTTCCAATTATACGTGTATTACTGTAATTCAACTACTATTCAATTAATTCAATTTTCTTCAAGGAATAACTCGCTATTCCCAGCATTTTCATATGTGTTATACATATATATGGCAATGGCTCAATTATAGGAAAGATGTGGAATAGATAGAAATATAAATTTGATAGATTTTCATTCATGTTTTTCAATTTTTGTTTTGAGGATTCGAAAATATTTCATTTTCAAAATAAAAATAATTTGATGATAATTTGTTTGTTTATTTACATTTTTCTGTCAAATGAGTTGACAGTAGTAGAACTTACAAAAACAAATTTCCATGTGGTTGTTGTATCGTTTTTTGTACAACAACACTTGCTGTTACCTTCTATTATTATACCATGACCATGGGTAGTCTTCTAGGCCCTGATTGCAACGGGTCGTAGAGTAAAACATTTAAAGTTCTGATTACAAAAAAGTAAGAAGAAGATATAAGGGCTTAACTCTAGTTTAGTAAAAACGATCAGATTTTTTTATGTATTTTTACCCTAATTATGGGGATATCTTTTTGTCTGTTATTTGACCCGGAAGTTCGGGTACGGGTACCCGATTATATCCGGTTTTACGGATCCGGGTATATAATTTTTAAGCTTGTAAAAATACTTTTATATTGAGTGGTGATATAATGGATTATCTGAAACCGTTTTGTAGATACAGGCAAAAAACTGAGTTTTTGGCCCCGATTTTTTTAAAAACCCTAAAAGTCGATTATTTTTTCCATCTCAAATGATAGACCACAATTTGCCCTTTCCAAAATTGTGCGATATGTGGCTGTATCTGTTGTGGATCAAAAGATATGGGCTATAGAACCCTGTCTCGTAGTCGATGTTTATATCTGTCTATAGGAGAAAGTCTGAGTCCATCATTCCTGGTACTTTTATCTTTTAATTAAAAGTATGTGTGGATTTAAGTTCTCTTCCTATGGACAGATGGCAATTCCAGCTACGCGAAGAAACTCCTTTTGTGGTAGTAGCGCTATTCAATGGGCTGAGGTAACAGTCGTTGGCCGAGAAAGACTCGAGTCGTTTCGGATCTTAGACATCTCTATTGTGGAAACGAAGAATATCCTTTATATTAGATAGGTGGCCGGCCTTCATAATGGAGGCCCATATCTCTGTAAGTATGGTCTTCTTCGATAAGGAAATTACATTGTTGTAATCAGCATTTCAACCGCTTAAAATTGATAACCATAGTGAATTTAAAAAATCATGGACAAATACAAGGGTCCGAGCGGAAGTTTGGAAATACGGATGCATATTTTTAAATAACAGTAATAATAAGCTCTTTTCGACATGATCCTAGTTGTATATTTCCCATTCTGGAGTAAAAATTGTAGCCGCAGCAAATGTTCGGTATTGTTGTTCCATTTCTGACATAGACTCCATTCCAAACATTCTCTCTAACTTGATTTTAAGCACAATACACCATTTTTGAGGATAGGTATAGAAGTAGTAGGTTCTGTCCCAAACTTTTTCGGCAAAATTTTAGAATATTTTCGATTTCTTTTTGCTGTATGTATTTCACTTTTTGTTTTAAACACCACTTGATATTACAAAATTTTCCCACAAACAATGATTTTATATAAAATTAAAACTATTTGGTTATATATTTATGTTTTAACATTTAGAAGTAATTTTTACATGCTGTATTTTTCGAATAAGCTTTCTTTTGCCAGAAAAGTTCAAATTACATTTGCCTTCTAGTTTAAATTATTTATATTCTTATTGATGTTAAATTATTGTTTAACAATAAACACATTTATTCATATACATCTTCCTTGTCGGCGACGTACTTAATAATATCGGCAGGCCTCAAAAGTTTTTCGGCATCAGAATCTGGAATTTCAAAACCGAATTCATCTTCCATGGCCATGATAACTTCCACATGATCCAAGGAATCTAAACCCAAATCATTGATGAAATGAGACTCAACACGGAGCTGTCAAAAAGAAGTAAAAAACAAATATATTAATAACACTTAATACCGGTAAAAATTAATACAATATTCTAAGTCAATAAAATATTGCAATAGGAAGCAAAAAGTTGGCCTGGCAAAGGCATGGAATTAACATTTACCTTGCTAGGATCAATCTTGTCGTAGAGTTTCAAAACTAGCAAAACTCGTTCGTTTATCAATTGCAGGGTTAGTGGGGGTTTTGCTGAATAATTGCGTACCATTTGCCATTGCCAGCTTTTGCTACCCTAATAACAAAAAGAAAAAAACAAAACATTAGTAAAACTCAGCAGCATAAATTACCTGTTCTTTAGTGACTTTATCGTAAGAGGCGACCACTTTCAATACACGATCTTTAATATCCTCCATGGTCAATTTGGAGGAGTAACAACGCACCTGGGCTGTTACTGATTTAGGCTTCAAAATGCTCTACACAAAAATAAGTGATTACATATTAATACAATCTCAAATATATGTAGGTGCTCATGGACTGAATGTTCGATTAAAATACAACAAATTATAGCATCGTCTCCTTCGAATAACTTGTACATAACAGATGTCTTTATTATTGAACCTTTAACTGATAACACAATTTTCCAAACATCAATAATTGCCAATGTAAGTAAAGATGTTCGGTTTCAGATTTTATAGCCGAAAGTGAGGTTATGAAATTGTGTCTAGTATATTCTTGGAATGGGATATTTACAAATTGTTCTTTCCATTTAAACACTTACTTGTGTCACTCCATTGCACATGGCTGGTGCGACCAATCTGTGCAATAAACGCATCTGTGGTTGGGCAGTGATAGCACGGATTCCATTGGCTCTGACGGCCATACGGGCACAGTTACGGGCGATTTGAGTCAACGACATTTTTGTAGACCTACAATACAAAACCGGCAATAAGTAATCAGTTTTTAACGTCTATCAATACACGGCATAGAAAATTAACAAGAATTTTACCCGAAATTTACTAGAAGAATATTATGTAAAAACTTCTGCAAAACTTGTGCCTCCGCAACTGAAATGTCAAAATTAATGGGAAGTTCTTCTCATAAATGTTACCAGTATTTCATGTTTTTGGCCATTGTTACCAGATTTTTTCGAAAATATTACCATTATAATCATATGGTTATTGTTTTGTAAACAATGTTTACACGATGCCATAAATTCATAATTGGTAAATATCATAAAATATCATATATCTTATGGTGTTTTTACACGATATGTATTTTACATATGTGCTGTCACTTTTTCATCCATATGTAATTCCTTATGTGTGTCAAAATTAGCAGTGTACACAAAACATTTATTTTTGTGTTCAAATCGGCATATGTATTTTACATATGACATAACCTATAAACAAAAAAACACTTTTATTTTTTCTTAAATCAACATCATTTTGTTTATTAAACACCTACAAACGAAATAATAATTTGTAATTGTTGCCTTTTCATCCTTTTTTTTTGAATTGCAATTGAAATATTTTCTTCCAACAATGTGTTTCATTCAAACAGCTGATTTCCTTATGTTTCACATACGAAAATAGAGCGCGTCCTATTCGGAAAAAAATACTTATGTAATTGCATATCGTTTTGACACATTGAAATTTCCGTATGTTTCACATGACGAGTTCGATTTCCATATGTAAAAAAGTGACAGCACATATGTAAAATACATATCGTGTAGAAACACCATTAAATGGTCTGTTTTTTCGATATCATATTATAAAGGAAAAATTGTGCCACATGTCTCACAACTTGGGTAATAATTTTGAACATAGTATTTTTGACAGAAAGCGGACACAGCAGTAGTTTAGTCATCTGTTGTGTTATTTTTTTAAGATTTTATTTATTTAAAAAATGTAGTATTTTCGAATACCCATAATAAAATTAAAATACATGAACATGGTATAATAATAAAAGAAGGTAACAGTAAGTGTTGTACAACAAACGATACAAGTCGAGCATAATAAAATTAAAATACATGAACATGGTATAATAATAAAATAAGGTAACAGTAAGTGTTGTACAACAAACGATACAAGTCGAGCTTGATGATCTAAGAGTTTTGCAATGACTGGCTTTCCTTTTCATTGCAAAACTTAGATCATCAAGCTCGACTCGAAAGAGTATAAATAATCACTTAAAAATCACTTTCAAATGATCACTGCCCTTACAAGGCAAAATTCAAATAACAAAAATTAATTTCAGCCGAGCACGGCTAGGGCTCGAACCTAGGTCCTCGGAGCAACACAATTGCGAGTTATTTCACGAAGAAAGATTTGTTTCCTCAAACTTTCCCAGCAGGCAGATTGAGTACATTGAATACGGGTGGACATTTAATAAAGAAAAATTTCGAATTGTATGCGTTTCCAATATTCCTGTTGGTTGATGTTTAAAAACATAATTTGTCATATTCATATTGACACTAGCATTACGTTGGAATCAAATCAGCTGGGTTTTGCTGTTACCTTCTATAATTGTATCATGAATTATTCTATGAAAAAAGTTACACTGCTTCAAACATTCCCTAAATTGAATATAGGATGACATTTAGGGTATGTTCCCGTACTGAAAGAATTTATTGCTTTTTACACCGATAACGAATTTTCCTTTATGATATCGAAGAAAATTGTAAAATCTAGTACATTCTTTCAGTACGGGAGCAGACTATTAATAACGAACAATTTAGAATTTTATTCGTACCATGGTACAATTATACAAGGTAACTGCAATACTCAGCTGATATGATTGTATCGTAATACTCGTGTCAAGTTCGATATGACATGTTTGATTTGTGTAGAACGACCCATCAGGAAAATTGTGTACACTTCAAAATCTACAAGATTTTACTATTTTCTTCGATATCATAAAGGAAAAATTCGTTATCGTTGCAAAAAGTAGTAAATTCTTGCAGTACGGGAACAGACCAATTATATTTGAGATGAAAAATAGGCTAATAGGATTTCATCATTATAGTATACGCATTTAATTTTTTTTGTTCTGGCACGAGAATTCCATTTATATTAATTTGAAAGAATACAAACTGCGAGTTAACAATTTACATTCTCAAATCAACGAAATCGCAAGAGATGTTCTATGGCATAATTACACAAGGTAGTCTCATGCAGATATGATATGATTCCATTTTTTTTCATAATTTTACTTTTGACAACATTAAGCTTTCAAAATTTAAAGGGAAATATCCTCCTTCGCAGCCTCTATGTAACATCTATAGTTATATCTTTTTTTCCTCTTTAATACTGGAGGCAGATCCCCCTCCAGCTAGTCCATATTCTATTAAAATAGAAGGTATAGGACCATACACCATATGTAACGAAGTCTTCTTATATTTTAGTTTAGTTCGATAGTATAGAAATAGAATATATTTTTTATTCTTTTCAAAACATCACATGCACATTCACACACTTTGCATACGACTTTGGCATAACAAGCTACAATATGAAAAAAATGTATTTTATAGTTTTCTATGGCCTACCTTGGATGGGATAAGCATATAAAAATTAAAAAATCTGGTCAAAACTTGACGTTATGCATATTTTATATGGTTTACACATCTTCAAATTGACTTTAGACTGAGAAGTATCGATATTTAAATTGGGTTGCCACTATCATGGTATTCTAATTAGAATGTTGCCAATTTTGTTTGGCTTTAGTGACGTGCAAATAGTATTCGATTATTTAAACATGACGTCACAGATTTGTTTACAATTTTTTGTTAAATGAAAAAAGTGAATTCTAGAATTTTATTCTAATCGTAAATTAGAATTTGTATTTGTAGTTTAGTGTAATAGTACAATTTATTTGATATTTAATAAACATGATTAGTTCAAGTCTTCGTTGTGTGCAATACGGTAGCAATGTAGATAAGTTTTTGTTTACAGTTGTGAAGTTACGTAATAATGTTAGTTTGGCAACAGCTGGTCTGGTCCGCCGTAGTAGTAGTATTGTAAACAGTGACCTCCAACGACATCACCATAGGCCTAATCAACATTTAGTATCGCGGTTCAGTAGCACAATGTCAAGTTCGCAAGAGTTCCGTATAGCAGACTATGATATCATAGGCTTCGATCTGGACGGTACCCTTCTCAGGTACAACCTGAATACCATGGTGCCCCTGGTATACGAGTTGCTGGTTAAGTATTTAGTTGAGGAAAGAGGCTACCCACGTGTCATGCTTGAAAAGCCATTTAACAGTGATTACATGCAAAAAGGTTTGATTGTGGACGCTGAACGTGGAAATATACTGAAATTGAGTGCCGATGGTGTGATTTTAAAAGCTGCCCATGGTACGCGTTTTCTACAAGACTCGGAAATAGAAGCCATCTATGGAAAGGCGAGAACATGGAGTACAGCCATTGAATACATCGATGATCCTTTGTCGGCATGGAATGGCCCCGTATCAGAAAAATTAAGAAGTTTATTGGACTATTTTGATCTTGCAGCATCTTTGGTTTTTGGTCATGCCGTTGACGCTATTGACGAGGTATCACAGGCCAATGAAAATATTCTAGAAAAGAATAATTATAAAATTTGGCCAGACCTGTTATCGGGTTTAATAAAAATCTATACAAGGGAACATTTCGCCAATGGAGAAAGCCCGTACTTTAAAGCTTTAAAAGCCCAGCCAGAAAAATATATTATGAAAACTGACCGTAGCGTACTTAATTTGTTGCGTGACCTTAAATCTTCAGGCAAGGCTTTGTATTTATTGACTGGTTCTAATATAGATTTTGCAAATTTAACTGCCACCTACGCCTTGGGGCCCGACTGGAAAAGTCTTTTTAATGTGGTTGTTTCGTTTGGCAAAAAACCAGGATTCTTCTTTATGCAGCGACAATTTTTGCAGGTAAAGAATTTAATGGAAGTAGAGGGCAGTGAAATATCTCTGCAGGATACACTTACAACAGACGGTTCGTGCTTTAGTCAGGGAAATTGGCAACAATTGAAAGCTAGTCTAAGCAAAAACGTTATTGGAAAAGACGATCAGCAGACTCGTTGTCTCTATGTGGGTGATAATTTAATACAAGACGTGTATGCACCATTTACCAAAGCATCTATGGATACAATAGCACTGAGTGAAGAACTTCTAGAAAATGACGATAACTATGAATATAAAAATATTGTACATTCCACCATGTGGGGTTCATATTTTAGCGTAAATGGTACGGCAACTTTGTGGTCAAAGAATATAGAGAAATATTCTAGATTGTGCGTTTCGACTATGGATGTCGTTGCTGGCGTACCTGTTACCGATAAGATAATATCCGAAAATAAGCAAGGATTTTATCCGACAGCTCCTGAAAGTCTACTCGAGAGATAGAAGTATATTGATTTCAGACAAGACAAAAATATAACTATAACTGTATTAAATTTGAATACACAAAATTAATATATTGATATTTTTCGTACAAAGAAATAAATTAAATGTTTTTATCATATATGTAAATCGATAGTTCCCTTTATTATTAACACTGATTGAGATCTTTTATTTTATATATATAAAACAGGTATTCATAGATAATATTTTCAATGAAACAAACTAGTACAAATTATATTGATGTATTTGACACCTTTTTTAGTTAAAGTAAATATATCATCGTATATTGTTCCTTCAATTAAGTAGTAATAATTGTAAGTTAATTTGATATTACATGTTATAATAAAAACAATACATGTTTAAGTAAAGCCAACTTTAATTTTAACTAATATTCAAGCTATTATCGAAAAAATAAATAAATTGTTATGTTTCTGTACTCAATAGTTTATATTATAAACTTTATAAAAATTTTTAATGGCTTGTGTAAAAAAGATAATTAACATCACCAATAGAGATTCTTGGCTTTTAATGGAAAATACAGTTATTTTATAGTCGATGTAATCAACAGTTTTACTAACTGTCTTATTAAATATTTAATAAAATAAGTTTTCGTTTAATTTTTTGTCTTTTATATAGATGTTTTTGGATGAATCAGTTTTAATTGTTAAAATGTGAATGTAATCGATTTCTGTTCATTTTACACTTTTTAATGGATATATAAATATATAATGGGTAATAAATGTTAATCATGTGTAACATGTAATTTAATTCATATTCTCTGTTTTTGTGTTTTAATACATAACATTCATAACGACTCAAAACATATATTTATTAAAGGGTGTCAATTACAATTACCGCATATAAAAACAACTCTTTTTAATTTAATTATATTTGATTATATGATATATTTGATTGGTGTAAAATCTCAAAATAATATAAAAACACATATTATACGTCAATCAATAAATTATGTAAACGTGTTCATTAAATATCTATATGTACTCTAGTGAAATATTTCCTTTGTTACAGATAACAATAGTAATGTAAGCAATAGAATCTGTAAAATAAACTAAATGAATAACAACAATTAAGATTCCATAATGGTATTTGTTGTTTCCGTTGTGCCTCACATTGATAATATTGCAATAGATGTGATAAACAGATCTCAAGTTAAGTGTATTGTATTGAATAGACGTCAGTACACGATTTGCATACAGATAATAGGTTATTAAAAAATACATTGTTTTCATAGTCGAATGGTTTTTCGGTTAAAACTAAAAATGTTCACGACTAAAGAGGAAATTAAAAAAAAAATCTTTGCTAGGATTTTTCTATCACCATTGGATTTTTAAAATGACAACATGGACTATTAGATAGCTGAAATTCTTGATTGATAACTCAGTTACCGGGTGTGACTACAGATGATACTCCTGGAGAAAAAGGCTTTTATTTATTAAGAAAATTAGGTATATTTTTAATACATCATCACCACTTTGAGTTACCCAATACAGTATCCAGAAACTCGCCAAGGAGAAACGTTTTTCGTCAAACTGTATTGTTCCCTTAAGGACCAGATATTTATGAACAGACGATATTCCCCTTTTTTCAATTATTTACAGTACAAAGGCTTGATTCATCCATAATATTATAATTCATTAAGAATAATTCCACCAGCTATTCAAATTATACACACATGTTGTTTTCATATGCATTATAAATTAGTGTTTGGTTAAGTGTTTCTATTTATTGTTATGACACATTTTTATATTATTTAAATACATTTCCACTATTAGCAAATAAATATTGATCATTGGGCATATGGGCAAATTTGTAAAAAATAATTTTTTTAACATATTGATAAATTACTTATAACGTATTTGAATTAATCTCAAAGCCTTTCTACAGCCATTGCAATTCCCATGCCCCCTCCAATACATAAACTGGCCACACCTTTGCGACCACCTGTTCTTTCTAGAGCATACAATAATGTAACCAATACACGAGCTCCAGATGCTCCAATGGGATGACCCAAAGCAATGGCACCGCCATTTATATTAACTTTATCTTCTTTCAAGTCAAGACCCTTCAGAACTGCCAGTGATTGGGCAGCAAATGCTTCATTGAGTTCATATAAATCCACATCATCCTTAGACCAATTAGCTTTGGCAAGCTAGAAGATACATTTCATTAATATAAATATTCTATTAGAATTTATTATACATACCACAGCATTAACGGCAGTGACGGGTCCAATACCCATTACTTTTGGTTCTACACCTGTTTGAGCCCATGCCACAATTTTTGCCAAAGGAACTACATTACGTTTTTTAACTTCTTCCTCTGACATCAACAATACAGCAGCGGCAGAATCATTAATACCCGAGGCATTGCCCGGAGTAACGGTACCATCCTATACAATTTAAAAATAGCAGAACATTATATTTGTTATCTCCAAAAATATTTGCAGATATGTACCTTAATAAAACATGGTTTTAATTTTTGTAATCCTTCTACGCTTGCTCCATACTTAATATATTCGTCTTTGTCAAATATGACAGTACCTTTGCGATCAACAATTTCAACTGGTGTAATTTCCTTATCGAAAAATCCACTTTTTTGTGCATTTTCAGCTAAATTTTGTGAACGTACAGCATATTTGTCTTGTTCTTCTCGGCTAATATTGTAATCCATTGCCAAATTTTCTGCGGTAATACCCATATGGATATTTTCCATGGCATCGGTAAGACCGTCGTGTATCATAGAATCTTGCATTGTGGCAGGACCCATTTTTACACCTTGGCGTAGATGCATTGTATGTGGGGCTAAACTCATATTTTCCTGACCACCACAAACGACAATAGATGAGTCACCACAGCGTATCGCTTGGTAGCCCAAAGCAATTGTTCTATGAGAAAAACAATTTGATTACTACCAATACTATTCTTTTAACAAATTTTGTACTCATACTTCAAACCTGAGCCACATAACAAATTAATGTTGTATGCGGGAACTTCTATGGGCAAACCAGCACTCAAAGATGCTTGCCTAGCGGGATTTTGTCCTTGGCCAGCAGTCAGAGCCTTTTAATTTGAATTTTTATTAGAATTAAAAAATTCGATGTTATTTACTAAATGTACTTACTTGGCCCATTATGACTTCGTTCACCTCATTGGGTGCAACATTGGCTCTTTTCAATAAATCCTTTATCACAATTCCGCCCAAATCGGATGCTTTCAATTTCGACAACGTGCCATTGAAATTCCCTACATCATCACAATGAAAGTTAATAAGTGCATGTGAAAAGAGAAAGTTATCTAACTACTAGAAGTACTTTGACCAACTGCGTGGTGGACACGTAAGATATAGTTTTCAAATAAGTTATGATATTGGTATCATTATCGGCCGTTTGTTGGGATAACATACCGATGGGTGTTCTGGCTGCAGCCACAATATACACATTCTCACTCATGATGATAGTTCTACGTAGATGTAACTTAAAAATATATGTAAAAATAAATTAACCCGCGCACGGAAACGTCGTTTATGACGATCGAACTCACTATGAATTGAATGAGCCAATATAAACAAATATTTATTTACCTTTTGCGTGGCTGTCAATAGTGTGTGTATGGTTAGCGTTGCCAGTGTTGTGGATTTTTTCTCCAAACTGGTTAGATTTTTTTCGATCTAATTAGAAAAATTGTGTTCGCTTTCTAATTGGGAATATTGGTCAAGATCCCCACCATATGTTTACTGACAGCAAACCCACAACAACTATACTCTCTGTGGCTATAGGAAATAAGTGCACCTAGTATTCATTTTATTTAAAATTAAAAAAATCTCAATTTTTGATCAGCTGCTACATTTTTGTTAGGCGACTACTTTGAATTTTAATTTATTTTCAAGCATACTTTTAGGAGAAGTGATTATTTGTTGGTGCAAAACTGAGTTGAACTCAAAATTATCCCGAATTAGCATATAATTTCGAGAAAATCAAGATATTGAGTGGATTCAATATCGAGGTAAATTCAGTACCAATTTTGTCATACATATGACATTTGTAAACAGCTTTAAATATTGAACAATAACCGGACAGAATTCTTTTTAAACAATATTTAGACACACTGTATATTTAACAGTAATAATTTGCTACGATAACACTGACCTGCACCGGCCTGTTGCCTAACGCCGTCAAGTGTGCACCGACTTCGTATTTATTATAACTAAAGATATAGTCGAGAGTAATAGTCGACTTTTCGATTTTTGCCTCTGAACATAAAGTCGACATTTCGGTTTTTGAATCCGACTAAAAAGTCGACTTTTCGATCTTTCGATTTTATCTATTACCGACTAATGCAATTTATATTGTACAACTACATTCCAATCCAAAAATCGGGATTGTTGCGTCTTTTACCATACAAAAATAAATGACGATTCCAGCCAAAAAACCATACTATGCTATACAATCCTGTTTTTGTGCCATAAAGTACTAAAAGTTGCAACTGTTCTCATTGAATATTAAATTAAAGTCGCTGGATGTATATAGGTTAATTAATTTATTTATTAATTTAATTCATATATATATATATATATATATATATATATTCACAATAATGAATTTTGACAGCAAACTCGAGTGGCGGAGATATCCAGCTGCTCTCCCTGGATGACCTTATTTATAGGCCATGGCTGCACGTATTTATAAGAAAAATCGAAAGTCGACTTTGCGATTTCCTCAAAAATCAAAAGTCGATTTCGATATTTTGACTTTTCAATACAAAAAGTCGATTACTCGAAAGTCGATTTACTTATCCCTACTAAAGAAAAGTGAAAAATTTCTATTGTGCAAAAAAAGAATTATTTTTTCTATTAAGTATATCAAAATAAAGTACTGTTTATTGCAAAAACTATTTATTGATAATATTATATATCTAGGATACGCACACAGTTTTTTTATAAATAACCTCGAGCACAGCCCAGCAAAAGAAAAGAAACAGTAAAAAGAAAAATGCAGGCAATCAAGTGCGTTGTCGTAGGGGACGGTGCGGTTGGTAAGACATGTCTACTCATCAGCTACACAACGAATGCATTTCCAGGAGAATACATACCAACTGTATTCGACAATTATTCGGCCAATGTTATGGTCGACGCTAAGCCCATTAATTTGGGTCTTTGGGATACAGCCGGTCAAGAAGATTATGATCGTTTACGTCCATTGTCTTATCCACAAACAGATGTATTTTTGATTTGTTTCTCACTTGTAAATCCGGCTTCATTTGAGAACGTACGAGCTAAGTGGTATCCAGAGGTACGCCACCACTGCCCAAATACTCCAATAATATTGGTGGGCACAAAGTTGGATTTGCGAGATGATAAGATTACCATTGAGAAGCTGCGCGACAAAAAGCTTACGCCCATCACCTACCCGCAAGGTCTTGCTATGGCTAAGGAAATCGGTGCAGTCAAATATTTGGAGTGTTCTGCTTTGACACAGAAGGGCTTGAAGACTGTATTTGACGAAGCCATTCGTTCAGTGTTGTGCCCCGTCTTGCAGCCCAAGTCGAAACGTAAATGTACGTTGCTATAATTTCACCATAAACCCGGAAAGTCTGGAAAATCTTAAGCACATGGAGAGGAGAAAACCAGCAGAATACCAAATTGAAGCGTTCTTAAACACAAAAACAAATACAGCCAATTCTATAATTTTTGTATACTGTAGCAATAGTAAAAAAACAAAAACAAAATATACACACATGTAAAATGATACAGAGTGGTCTTCCAGACCTTGAGATTAATAATGTGTTATTGTCACCAGGTCAACGTGTTTTAACGTTTAATTCCATCACTAATGACATTTTTTAAAACACCACCCGAAGGATATCATGTTGCAGAACTAGTCAATAGACGATACGATTCGCAATGTAAAATTTCCGTTTTGAGTTACACAGTATTCCATGTCTGTACTCTATTTTCTAATGGTCCAGTTAATTTATATTATTTATGTCATCGCCATTGCTTTTTGTTGCTTGGATAATTTTTTATTTGCAATTAACTCGAGCATTAATTTCGTAAACTTTTTATAAAATATGTGTATTAAAAATATGATTTTATCAAACTAAATGTGCATTAATAAAAACTAAAAGTTGTTTTTCTTTTTTATATGCTTTTATGAAAACGATATTGTGAAATGTACCATTTTTTTGGCTTTAAGTACTACACCCCATAATCATTTGTATTTCGGAATGTTAAAAATGATATTGAGATGAATATAAAAGTATTGCTAAGAAAGAAGTTAAATTTTTTCTGTAAAACAGTTTTGGATAGATTTTTTTAACATCCCAATTGGATAATTCTTTAAATGGAAATAAAGTAGAAATATATCTTAAATGATTCAGAAAATTTAATATAAATGAGTTGAGCTATTTCATTTTTAATATTCTATACGAATTGTATAGTCTAGTTATTTAACATTCCATTTCATTGCGTTGGTACAATTTTCATTGCACGAATCAATCCTAATTTTCCAATTAGTTTTTCTTTTAATTTCCTGTATTATTTTATTTTTTGTATTGCGAATGGGGTGTATGCTTGGCTTCAATTCCATTTCTTTTGAATTATTTTATTTTACTACCAAAAAAAAAAATAATTTCTGATAATGGAAACGTTTGAATGTTCGAATATCCTTGCTAATAAACCAGTACATACTCATGATATAGATATAAACGAAATAAGCTAAACAAGTAATAAATGATGAGGAAAAACGTTAATAGTTTATGTAGTTTTGCTGTTGTTCGTACAATATTTACATTCTCCTTCTTGCTAAGCTATAAAAAAGAAACAAAGAATCAAATACACACATACACACACATTTGAAATATCAATCAATCAACAACAACAAAACATCTTTCTCTTACCAATAAATACTTTTCATGAACAAGAAAACAAACAAACATACAAATGAGTCAGAGATCGCCATAATATGAAATCGACACATGAACTAACACTTGAAATCAATTACAATATGGAAAACAAGGCATTTAAGTGACGAGCCTGTAAAATTTAGTATATTTGTGCTAATCAAATTTTTGGAAAAATGAAAATCTTACTACTACTACTATTTAATAATTATATATGTATATGTATTAAAACAAGCATAATTAAACTAAATATTGTAATACATACAAATGAGAAAAAAATAAATTTTTGTGTGGCACTTAATGTCAATATGATGATGGTTTTATTTACTTCATTGGTTTTTTATTTACTGTTTAGGTAAATTAAGGGGTATAAGGCACTTGTAAATATAAAAAATATATATTTTTATGTACATATAGAATGACTTGCAAGAAATTTCGATCGTACAAAAATTGGCTGAGATATGAGTATCCAAAGTAAGAAACCGTTATGTTGCTTTCCTCGAAATGCCATATTTGAAAACGGTTTTTTACGATTTTTTCGTTATAATAGACTTGACTTTCACAATTAAAAAAATAATATATTTTTCTTAATGATCTCGCCGAAAACATTTTATCCATTTTCGCAGATTTTTTAATAAAAACAGTGTTTGGAAAAAAAACTGAAAATATGAATTTTGAGATGACAATTTATTTTTATTTTAAACTCTGGTATATTTCTTGTAAAAATTTACGTTTTTGGTGGTCCTTTTTCAGCACTCTAAAGAATTATAATAATATCATTTCACTAAAAATTTATAAACTAAATAGGGCAAGTGCACCAATAGTCGACACTTTAAGGATTTTCGCATTTTAAATGTTTCACCATTTTGAGAGCATTTCTTCACTATATTGTATATAGGTTCATATGTTTCCAAATTTTGTTTTGTCCCCGATGCAATAAAAATTTGTTTAATTAATTTGTATTAAAGTAGATTAAATTGATAATTATGTAAAATAGTGCCTTTGTGCCAATAGTCGGTACTTTTTTCTAATTGTCGGCATGTCGTATTTTAGTTAAAGAAAAATTATTTATTTAATTATTTTTCTGCTATTTTCACTAAAAACGATTCCATCAGTGTTGTATTAAAACATTTATAAAATAATGTTATTGATTAAAATATTACAATTATAATACGTGGTGCCGACTTCGGAAACCTTTTTTTTATCCAATTTTCGGCATGGCTAAATAAAGCATTTCAGAGGTTAAAAGAATTTATGATTAAAACCATGTCTTACATTATGTAAAATCACTCAGAATATTTTTTTCCAATTTTGAGCCAAAATGATCGACAAGGCGCTTATTATTCACCCCGATCACCCATATGCCGACTATAGGAAAACCTTAACAATTTTTGTCCCTAAGGGTGTCATCGATAAAAACATCATAATTACAAATATTTTTTTTAGATTCTGATGTTCTTTATAATTAAGATGGTCCTTGTGAAAATGTATAATTTTAATATAGTTACAGGTCTTTTGAAATCGACATGCCCACTATTTTTAGGAATGAATGAACTTTAGCCTATTAATATCTAATCTAATTATTTAAATTATCCTATTTAATTATTTAAAAAGGTCCCGCAAAATCCCAAATTAGAATTGTAGGCTCAGACGGACTATTGAATAGATTGTGTGTGTCGTAAGGGCTTGGATGGCATGAGCGACACCTGTTTAGGACAATGCGCACTCGATACGAATTGAGAACATTGCTGTACCCGGATCTTAGTTGTGCCAGAATCGAATGGATTTGCCTAGGAAGAAGCATCCCACTGTCCGAAATTGCATAGGATGTTGGAGTAGGACTCTATTGCATCTGTAGCCATTTATGGCTTGCGAGACCGCCAGTTGGTGCATGGATTTCATCGAGTTCGCTATAGTAAATCTGTTGACGTCCAATGGAATGACGTATTGGATGCCTTCATGATAGCACCTGAAGTCCTGACGAGCATAAATAAGGATTGAAATACCTATGGTCTTGTATGTCGTTACCAACGTTTCTTTATTCTTGTCCCAGGAGGTGCCAACCAAAGCTTTCAGAACATTATTCCATTATTTATTCTTTTCCGTAACCCCAACCCAGACGGATGGACCCACACATAGATTGATTTACTTCAAGATATGACGAGGGATACGGACTTATATTTCGTTATGTTAAATACTCTGTGTATATAAGAAATTAAAATATACTATCAACATAATTGTGTAGACTATAAATATCCTGGGAAAGTTTGGCTTTATTGCCAAGCGACAGCCGCATATGAGGTAGCTGGGTCAGTCAGACACGAAGTCATCGTCTTTTTGGGTGAAGGTTGCGGACATTCTGATGAGCGAATGTTCTTCACAGATTTGCTCTGCGGGGCAGCATTTGTTCTACCAGGAGACGGTTTCTTGCCCGCCTTGCCCTTCTTTCTATTACGACCACTGGTGCATCCACTTAAAGCTTTAGCACCAACCACCTCACCTTTGTCGCTAGACGTAGAATCGGGCTTTGAGATAGATCACCCTTTGGATGACAGTTTGTGTCGGGATGTTCTCAGTAGCCGTTTCCTTTGCCTTTTGACTCGGGTTAGGCATAGGGCTAGGCTTCGGATCAGAAGTCGGCTCGCTCTCTTGTCAGAGACACTGGGCTTCGCCTCGATGTCTTCTTGAAGATTTTTGATCGAGCAGTTAGATTCGGGAGGGAGATCCTCTTCATCTGGAGCCCACGATGGAGAGCGTGCGGTAAATTCTTTCGAATTTCCTTACGAATCTCATTTTGCCCTTCATAAGGTGAACCTCCCTCTCGCCACACGAATTTGCGAAGATACGAAACAGCACGCTTGTAGTGCTTCGCATCAGATACTTGTCGGGCATTTCCGACCTTTGAGCCGCTGTCCGTTGCTGGGGTCTCGATAGATTCCCCATCGTCGGACATCGCCTCCGTCGTAGTTTGGCTTTCAAGTTTATTGTCGGCAAGTGCCGACACAGGACCTGATGGAGTCAGACTTGAAGTCGGTCGGTCAACAAGGTCTACGCTTCCTTTGTTGAGGCTACAACAATCCCCCTGTGTAGACTTGGCCGGAATCACCGTGGTGTCCAGCTCATCATCAGTCAGGGTAAGATATAGTAGCAGTTCCTCCGGAAGCGACAAGCCTGTCTAACTGGTCGAAGATTTCCATACTTTGCTCCTCTAAATTATCGCGGATAGCGTTAAAGGTCCCGTGTAGGTCGTCCTTTCCCAGAACTGCAGTCATAGACTGATTTGCATCAGTCTTGACTTGCTCGTTTTCCAATTGAATTACCAGTTCGTCAACGTTATTTGGGTTTGAAATTGATGCGCTTGTAACAGATACACCTGCAGGTGCCAGCCGGAGCAGCCGGATCACAATCGCTTGATCTCGATGACACGTGGGTACTGGTTATTAACTCCCTGCACCGTAACTTTATTCCTTTTATTCTTCTTAACCATCGTAGTTTATTAGTTTAAGGGCACTACCCCGATCCATTTTGGTAAACGGGGGATCCGAAGATCCCAATTTTTCCACGAAGTGCAGAGAAAAGTTGACCTTGGTAAGTTTTATCCTGCACATCCGCCACCTGGGAAGACGTGCCTAGTAGGAGATTGGCAACTCCCCCAGCCTAATTTACTTTAACTGTAAATTCTTTGATGCTCATATGTAGAGATTGCTTGTAACGTCGCAAAATTATTTTCTCGCCGGAACTTTTTGTGTTCCTTACAAATATATTTCTTTTTATATAAATCCACATACCACCTTCTTCAGCAATATTTCACACAAGTGTAAATAAATAATTGTTATTCCTTTTTTTAACATTCTGTATCAGTCATGTTTGAATTTATTTATTTTTTTCTTTTGTTCCAAGGCATTTCAAAGTGAGGTGTCTTCCTTTATACAATCATATATAGAATAGATTTTTTTGTAATATAGTTCAATTCACATAATTTAACAATTTAATCATACAACAAAAAAATATATTTTGCCAATAAAAAATAATAAACAATTTAACATGCTCTAATAATGATATTCTTATGGAACTAAATGAAGTTAGTATTGAGTGCAAAATAAAACCCTAATGATAAACTATAACCGCAACAAATTTCCTATAATCCTGAGATAGATTATACAAGACTGAAACCCTGAGTTTGTTGTATGGCTTGCATTAACTTGTATTTTAGTCGTTCCTTTGTTTTATATCTAGGCAGGTCAAGGAGATTGAAGCAGGTGTGAGCCACGGGTAAAAATTTGTCATCATTTGTGGGCTGTATTATGATCTAAAGGAAAAATTATTAAATATAATGGAATGGAAATAGAAATATTGTATCAGATGATTTACCTTAATTGCTTTCATTCCTTGTATTGGAATGCGATCACTGCCTGTTAAATACAAAAGAAATTTCTTTTTATCGGCAAGTGGCATTTCGTGGAAAATTTCCCAAAACCATTTAATCTGTAAAGTAAAGTAACTGAATAATTGTAGAACTTTCTGTTATATAAATAATGTATAATAAATACCGTATCATCGCTAACAGAGTAACCGTTTTTATATTCACAATTCAACTCCAAAGCTTTCCAATCATATTCTTCATTGCCTACAACCATGGCCATTAGCTCTTCAGGACGGAAAATCTTTAAGACACGTCCCCAACAAACCTTTATAAAAATATTTTTTTTGTAAATCATTGAATCAGATAAAAATGTTGCTGACAATTTGGAGTACCTTCATAAAACCTTTTTGAAATGCTTTAAATTTGTCACACACAGCCTTATTGAATATGAAATCCACATACAAATCAACAAACTCTTGTCTGTAAATATTATACAATGAGGACTAAAAAGTTATTGGAATTGAAATTGGCGGTAAATACCTGTTCTCTTTAGTTACACTTATTTCTGAACCATTCGGCTTAAGGGGTTCGGTGGTGCTCTCTCCAAAAATATCTCTTGATATTTCGAAATGTAGATCAAATGTTTCTTCAAAATCATCACCATCGTAGTCGAGTATTTGCTGCATAGAATTAGCCAAAGTTGGTGACAATTCACGCAGGTCACTCAAGTCGACTTTTTCATCCAAAAGTTTCTTATACAGAGCCAATGGAAATGGTAAATTAATAATGGTGAAATTATAAATAGCCAAACCACAAATTATGCCAATCAAAAAGTACATATCGTCTGTTTCAAATGTTACATCTGCAAACCATACAGATCTGGAGTCTTCGTACTCTTTGAACATGCCATATTTGGGATCGATGAGATCTTTTAGTAGTAACATGAAAAATTCTTTGCGCACACCACCAGCGTCTTCTGCTTCTTCGCCGCAAAATTTAACCTATAAAAAAAGTATTTAATTTAGTGTCATTTGTATTATATTAATTTTTATTATTTGTATAAAGGCAGGCACCTACCTTAAGAGGTTTCTTTAAATCAATTTCGTTATAATGCATAATTTCACGCAATGTGTCTTGTACAAGATTTTCTCTTGAGACATTTAAAACAATAAATTGTTGAATGGGTTGACCCGTTAGTAAACTTAATATGCTCTACAAATAAAAGAAACAAATCAATACATATGACACTAACTAAATATCATATCGAATCTTACATTTGAAGTAGCAGTATTCATTGCATGATGCATTTGTATGGCTTGATCCGTTTGTAGTAATGTAGTCTTGGCAGCTGCATTAAATAACATTGGATAATTACAAATGTTAAATGCATCAGGCTTTATGGAAAGAAAATCGATTAGTTGTCTATAGGAAATATGAATATTACATTTGTTCAGCTTACGGTTTTATCAAACAACCAATGAATATAATTTTGCTGGACATCAACAAAATCGGATAGTTCTGGCCAATGAAAAGCTTCGTAATTTAATTTTTCTTTGCGTTCCTTGTTATTTATACCATGAAGGAAAACAATAATGTTTAAGGCAGCAATTAAATTACTGTTATACGTTACAAGCTATTTGGAGGGCAATAAATGTTTCTTTAATTTTACAAGTATGAAATGTTATAACATTTTTAATTACCCTCTTCTCAGATCCACTACCCATATTTGGAGGTATTTTAAAACTAATAATGTATGCTATAACATCTTTGTAGCTTGAAACCAAATGCTCAAACCAGTCTACAGGGGTTTGTGACCACCATTTCGCCACAATTTTCCGTGGAATCTCGTTTAGTTTAATCACAGCATTGCTGAACGGTGTATGTAGTTTTTCATAGTTTTTGGCATTTACAAATTCATGATAGAGTGGTAATATTAGGAAAATTCGTAATGTTTCTACATCGGCAGGTGATGATACCAAAGAACTTAATAAATCGTTTGTTATCTTTTCCCAAATCTGCAAAACAAAAACATGTACATGTACATTTTTTACTTTTATATTGGATTTGAATTCAATTATTACCAATGTCTTAAGGGTTTCATGTTCGATTTTTCGTAAATAATTAAATGCACTGACGGCTGTTTTTATGTTTACACCATGATGTTTAGATGTGCAACAGAAATGTTGATCATCCTCAAGTAAAAACGAACCATTTAAACAGGCTTGGCTTTTAAATATAACCTCAACAAATGTCAGCAAATCCATGTCCATGATACTATCACGTTCAATATCTGCACATTTCTTAGCAGTTTCTTCAGTTAATGTAAGAACCTGAGTCTTTTCACTTTATAATATGTAGTATAGATAAGCAGATGCTTTATATTTTATATTAAAGTAATGAAAACCAGCTTTACTTACTCGTATAGACGACAATCTACGGCTGGAATTTTATCTTCGTAAAATGTACAAGTGACTAGCGAATGATCACCACCAGAGAATATCTGTTTTATTAAATAGCAATTATTGTCATTGTTTTCCTCCATATCAGTTTGTATTAAAGATTGACCACTAGGCGAGACCTGAAACATGTTCAAATATATATGTTATTATTTAAAGGATAATGACATATTAATTCTATTGTGTGAGAAAATAAAGTATTCTTCTCAGACTATACTTCTCAATACAATACTTATATTTACGTCTTTCTACTTTGTAGAATTGAATTAATAATCACTTACCCGATCATATTAAATAGATATGTTATTTTCAGGATATTGACATATTTATTCTATTGTGTGAAAACCTTAGTCACTTATCTTAGAAATAAGATATTTATCTCAATTGTTTTAAGATAAATAGGATATTTATACTTATAATGCCTATCTAGATTGTAGAATTCAATTAGAAATCACTTACCCATGGTCCCAGAACCACTTGTGGCGTTGGAGAGCTGTTATTTACCCGAATGCCCAACTGACCAGCACAACCTAAACCAAAACCATATACACGTCCACGTGACGGCACCAATGCCAACGTGTGTCTAGTACCACAAGCAATTTGTGTCACTGTACTGCCCATAAGTTCCACAACCATGCGGGGCAAAACCTCATTGGAATTACCACCATGTCCCAATTGACCATATCTTCCAGATCCGCAAGTAAAAACACCTCCATCGTTGGTTAGGAATACAGAAAACTCATCGCCACATGTTATATAGCGAACGCCCAAGCTACGCAATGTCTTCAACTGCGTGGGATAACATCTGTTGACATAATCATTTAGCCCCAATTGCCCACAATCGTTTCGGCCCCAACCGAACACAGCACCAGATTTTGATATTACAAATGCATGATTGCCACCGCATGCTATAAATGCAATTGGTATGCCATTGAGAGCGGACACCAGACGTGGTGTATTCGAGTGTACAACATCACTGGGAGAACCTACACCCAATTGGCCATAGATATTTGAACCCCATGCATATAATTCTCCGCCTGAAATTTTGGATATTATTATTACATCCTTGCCAAAAATGTCAAGTTTCAATACTTACAATTTGTCAACGCCAAACTGTGATTATTTCCGCATGCTATTTGTATAACGGTTTTCGATACTAGATTACGCACAATTTTTGGCTGTGTTACCACATCTAGACCATTGGCTAAACCCAGCTGACCATAATCATTATGACCCCAACTGAAAATTTGACCCCATTCATTTAATGCCAATGAATGTCGAGCACCACAGCTTAAACGAGTTATATTATAGTTTTCCAATTCTTCAATCAGTTCTATTTTTTGGGAATATAAATAAAGATTATATAGTCGAAAATGGTTTTTTTTGCAAAGCTAAAAGCACAACAAAATCAATCCACCATGATTTGCTACAAAAATAGTACCAATGATAAAACCCAAGAATAGTATTATACGAACATACAAACTACTAGAATAAATAAAATGTAATATAATAAGTTTAAGCCAAGTATGGGAACACACAAATTAAATATTGTATATTTTTCGTAAACGGTCTGGGCCCGGTAATGGAATTTTGTTCTCATTCCACGCGCAATACGCAACATCAATATTCTAGTTGTTCCTCTTTCAAAATTGAACGATCATTTACGGTTAGAGTTGCCCGACTCTAGAACCATTTCCTTAACTTTTGCGAATATTTTCGTACCCAGTAACAATCTTTACAGACAAGTACATTGCGTTGGATATGAACCAAGTTTTTTGCAAAAGACTGCATAAATTGTAAATTATAGTAGTTTTTTGCATTCATTCGTATTAATATTTACATTATAATTATACATGGGGAATCAGTTAACTCTTTTATCAAGTTGTCAAGTTTTTAAAAATATTTACTGATTGAATTTCTTATGTTGTTGCTTTATATATGAGTATTTATTATAATGTAATTATTTGGCTGAAAACAGCTTTGGCATTACCAGAAGAACCAACACTGTGTCATGCTTTACAAAAATATGACTTTTTATTTATATATGTACGTATACACTTCAATAGCTGTGTAATTCCCCGTTATGTTACCTTATATATATATATATATATATATTCTAATAGGTATAAAAAATTGTCCCATGTTACTAAATTTATGTGTTGAAAAAATGCATTCCCTGAATTAATATTTTCGATGGAGTATTTATGTTGCCTAATGTTAAAGGATGAAAATAAATCTTTGGATTCAATAAAGACCATAAACACTACTTATGCATTGCGTGTTCCCAAAACAATTGATCCCTGAACCGAACTAAAAAATGATGTTAATGGGGTAAAGCACATTGCTGATGAGTTTTATGTACATACTAAATAGAGATAGCGACATACGTGGCCTTTTCGTTGGCAGTTCATGTCCCAACTGGCCGTTATCGTTGCTTCCACAGGAATACACTTTTCCACTGGAAGTTAAAAACAATGTATGCCAACGGCCGCAGCTTACTTGTACTACACAGGAGTTTGGTGGACTCCATGTCATTTTTCGCGGTGTTAAAATCTGTTGGAAATATAAACAAATATTTTGTTAGACGCACTTTATCGAACGTACTTCGTTCCGAACCTCACCTGTTCATCTTCAATGCCACCCAACCCGAGTTCCCCGTGCGTAGTGTTGCCCCAGCAATAAATGGCCATTTCACCTTATCGCACACTTCGCCGTCTATTTGCCTCTGTATAAATGCGGTTTTACAAAAATATTCTTGATTTCTTATATCACGGAGCATTCGTTGGTTTCGATATCGAATGGTATGTTTCTAGAATGACTAAAATATATTTTATATCTTTCTTTTGGAACAATGATTATTGTTCTTATTCTCCTTTGTCGTTATTGTACGAGTAAAGTCCACCTATGTATTCATTCTATAAACTATGAAATTCGGATAGTCCAAATTTACAATAGTTTAAAATTACAAACAATAATAACAAAATGTATATTTTGCAAAAATATTTTTTGCTAAACTAATTAAATTTTGACGTATATGGTGTGTTTACAAAAATGTTTAATGGTGTTGCCATATTAATTATACCACCACTGTAAGGTAGCCACATCGGTCAACATCATGGCAAAATTATAAAAGCGTTCCATTTGCTAAATCATTGATGGTAATGCTATTACTCATTTTTGAATAAAATTTGAATTTGATATCGCAACTTTTTACATATGGTGTGTGAAGTATTAAAAATTATGTTAAAATTTTTACTTTATAAAATGAAAGAAAAGCACCTATGGCACGAAGCTCCAGTTTTCTTGAAAAATTATTAATGTTTAAAATACTGGTATTTTTAATATGGATTTAAATATTCATATTTTTGCCTTTTTAATAACATTTCAAAAATTTGAAATGAAATTTAAATAAAAATATTAAAAATTTCTGTCAAACTTTTTGTACTCTCCGCCATGTGATGAGCATTCAGAACTTCTTAAAAAAGTTGAGATCGTTATTGGGTTTATTTTGGAAATATGTTTTCACCCTACGAGAATCCGGAATACCAAATGTTAGCCATTTCGGCGGGATAATGAATTAAGACTTCAAAATACAATAAATGGAGAGTACCGTTATATGGGGGTTAGCCCGAAACATTGACCAATATTACTAATTTTAGGTACGAAACTCTTCCTACAAAAAATATTAAATTATAGACTATTTGCATAACAAATAACAAATTTAATATACATTATTTTACAGTGGACAAAAATCAAAATAAGTCAAAAATCTTAAAAAGTCGCAAATCAGGATAAACATTTTTAAAATCTAGACACCTTAAAGTAATTCTGGTATTTATTATTTTGCTAAGCAAAACCTAAAAAAAAGTTGATAGGATTACTCAATATTAAGAAAATACATTCCAAAATTGTTAATGCTTTTGGTAAAACTTATCTTATTTTTAAAGTATTGATTTTTTTAAATATTTACAAAATAATATACTTACCATATACTTAAATACACTTTGTTTTAGGGTCAATTCCAAATTTGAACACGTTATTCTGGACCCATATTGCTGTCGTAGGAACTAGGATAAATGTAATCGATGAAGATCTTGCTTATCATGCCCGCCGTCGAATAATGACTTTTCCTTAATTACAAAGAAACAACAACTACACATTGTGTCAGTTTATTCACTTCTTCAAATACATGTATGCAAAGCTACAATATTTAAAAATAATGTATGCTCATTTGCCTGCCGGTAGATATTAGTCGAAATTCGAAATGAAGAATAGGTGGGGTCTCGCTTAAGCAAAATGTGTGCATTAATCTTGCACCTATTACATGTTCAGTATAATGTTTAACAACTAATTTTTCATGTAAATAACATTTTCTAATGATATTTTTATATGTAATAATATAAAAATATTATTAATACAATATTTTTTCCTTTATGACAGTAAGGGAACATACAACATTTTTGTAAAGAATTTCATCGGAAATGTTACCGTCCTGTTATTCTTATTAATATCTTCGATAGTCTCGGTTAATACTACATCGACAAATACAGTCAAAATACTTTTGTACGAAATACCATTTTTTTGTCTTTTTATTTTTTGTCTTTCGAAATACCATTTTTTGTCTTTGTTCATCTTTTGTTAAGATGTCCATGAATCCGCTATTGAGATTAACTTCACTTATTGATATGGTAAAAATAAATAAAAAAAACTAAACCTGTTTATCTGGATGCTAATAATTTAGAAAACTTTACTTCATCTAGCCCTTATGTCCCTGAGATTTGGGCCTTCAAAGTTCTGTATTGAATTCCCTCATCGTTTTATCGCCAAAAGTCCATGCAAAGTTTTTCTTCTGAATAGAAAAGATGTGGTGGTTGAACTGATTTTAACACAGACTGCGCAATAGAATTGGAGCCCGGTCTTCTGACGTATTAAAGTCAGAATTTCTTTTCGTAACTTAACGTAATATACGGGTTAATATCGTATATTTCCCCCCCAAATTCGTTCCTTATTGCCCTTAGAGGTACTAAAAATAAACCGTTATATCAGCAAATTCTTTTATACGGACATCATTTTCGTTTTTATTAATAAAATAGGACATTAACAATAATTCAAATTTTATTTCAAAATTGCGTTTGACAATTTGCTTCACAAACAAAAATTAAAAAAAAGTTTAAAACCATATGATTGTCACTTACACCTTATTAAATACACTTTGGGTAGTACCATGGTACAATTATTCAAGGTAGGCCATAGCAATCTACAAATTACAATTTTTTCATACTGTCTTGTTATGCCAAAGTCATATGCAAAATGTGTGACTATGTAATGTTTTGAAAAATATAACAAAATATATTCGAACCCCGATTTGTTTGAAAATGAATTTTAAATCATTTGTAAGAAGAAATGTATGATTTGTGAATGAATCAACATATAAATCATATCCCCAACTCGTTTTTGAAAAGAAAACCTGACATTCCAATAATTTTTCGCGTTTTTGGTGAAATGTTAAAAAATATGTCAAATAAACAGAATGACTTGTTGAATTTCTTTTCATTTATTCTGACATTATTGCCCATAAGGTAGCTACCATCCATTCCAATAAGGTGTTTTTTCTTGTTGAATTTCCTTTCTGACAAGAGCTACCATACCTCGTATAATTGTTCCAAGGGTAGTAAATTTTATTTCAAATATTTTGTAGAGGTTCATATGCAGAAAATATATTAATTATTTAGATTGGTTTAAGAGTAAATGTTTTCATTCTCATACATTTTTTAATATATTCTAAACTAAAACATAAATCATAAAAATTCTAGAATTATTATGAGCCACATGCTGATACACTTATCGTTTTTCGTGGCCCTTTGGGAAATGGGAACACACACATACTTATTTATTGTGAAATAATAATACTAAACATCGAATAGGGAATATGTTCTCTAGAAAATTCCCTAATAGATGTGACGAGATATGGGAGTTGTAGTATATACACAAATATATTTTTTTGAGCCGGCTTATCAGTTTTTGGAAATCATACATTCATAGTTTGATGCTGCTAGTTTTATTTTAGACTATTGTCTTTAAAAATATTTGTTTCTTATCATAATGTTGAAAATTTAAGTGTTTTAGATGGAAAAAGAAAAAATAAAGACATAACCAATTTTTTACAATTTTATGCTATAATATGTGACTCTTGATAAAGAGTTGATTAAAATATTTATTAGGAGTTCTAGAAGAAGCGCCGTTTTTTTTAATACGCAAGAGACTTTATATTTCAAAAATCAATATTGGTATGTTCCCGTACTGCAAGAATCTACTAGATCTTACTATTTTCTTCGCTTAATAAAATTCCTTTACAGGTTCTAGTACACAGCAATAATTAGGACATTTTTGGTAAATTTATTTTTTTAATTATCACTAAAAATATATCTACTTTTTATTATAAATTTATAGTTTAAAATTGTAATAAAATGTGTTATTATACATATTTTGTTAACTTAAAAATTCATTTAATTTTATTTTTATATATACATTTTTTATTTGTTAAAAATGGTTCAAATTATGTTTTTCTATTTTTGTAACGTATTCGGCAATATTAGCTTGGTTACCAATATATGAAATAAATTAAATATTAATTTTAACTAATAACTTGCTTTTAATAAAGTTAATAGAATACAGTGAGGAGATCCAAAATTACATTATAGTATTTATGTTTGTAGTTAGTTTTTTGTTAATTTTTATTTTGACTTATAAGCTTTTAAATTCATTAAATTAATTAAAAGTGAATTTATAAAAATCAATACAAAATCAATTATTAAAAGTTACAATACTGGTATTTTTAATATGGATTTAAATATGCATAATTTTGGCATAATGTAATAATATATTTTTTTTATAAACATTTTTTATCAACATTTGAAATGAAATTTAAATAAAAATAATCAAAAATTTCTGCCGAAATGGACTTAATTTTATTTAGATTATAATATATCTTTATAATACATAGAAACATATTTATTAAATCAAATCAATATTTAGAAAATTATTAATTTTTGAATAATTATGTAGAGTGCTTTCTATACATCATTCGATTAATATGATGTACATACGTATAAACAAAGTTTGTATTCAATTTCATCGTTACCCAGTTGTTCAATAAATATCAATTGTCTGCTTATGTATAGTTATATAACTAGTTACTATGTTATCTAGTTACTTTATACCCAAAAATGGAACACAAAATATACTATTGACTTCATTTTATGATTGAAAACGTTTTCTATTTCTGTAGTTACTGGTAATGCGAAAAGTAATGAATCGAAAAAAAGCAAAACAGAAAAAACAATTGTCATTTTCTTCAGACTTTATAATTTTTTGAATTGTGAGAGCAAATATTTAATAAAAATGTGTGTTTTATACAAAATATAAGCAATCAATATTCACGATGTTGAAGATGAAGTGCCGTTTAAATAAACATTTCAAGAATCTAAAATGCATATGTTGAATCTAAGGTAAGTTCTGGTTTTGCGACACAAAAAATATATACGTAATTTTTTCAACAAAATTATTTTACAGATTTTCAACAGATGTAAATTCAGAAGCATCCAACAGATTGGAGGAACAAATAAAAGTTTGAAATACATAGGTAAATATTCTCCAAAAGCTTCTACTTAAGAGACCCATATCTTTAGTTATATTTTGTAATATTCTATTTCAGATGCTTCAATATTTCGTAGAGGACAGATGCGAAAAACAGTCGAGAGACAAAAGAAATATCAATAGCGGTGTGAAAAATCAGATATGATTATGCTCAAAATATATATTGTACAGCATAATTATGAAATAAATAAAAAAATATATATTCAAAATAACTTTTATATTTTCAATTTTCCAAACTGTTATAATAGCTAATTTGCTATGTATATGTAACTAGGAATAATACTAAACAATGGTATCTACCGAAATTGCTGGTTACTGGTAACGCAGGTAGGGGACAATTGACTTCCACAATGACATACCCATGTTAAATTCACCAGTCTAGGGTATGAAGTGGTAACTACTGGTAGTTACAGGTAATTAGTAAAATATCTAGTTCATAACTAGTTACTCGAACTACTGGGTATGAATTGAATTGCATACAAACACAATGACCCATAAACATATATGTATATACAATTGTAATGCATTTGTTTTTCTTAGCACTTAAACTGCATTGAGGGAATTCATAAAACCAATACAAACCGGCAATACTATCATATTGCTTGCACATTCATAACAAATACAATCTGTACATACATCGTACACCAAGAAATACATGCATATAAATATGGGTTCCAAAATTTCTGCTTATCTCAGCAAATGATTACAACTAAAAATTCGACCTCTCTTTACCCTACATTTCCGAAACTACTACTCAGCCAATTAATTTTAAGGCTTATCAGAATAGTCCAGAAGAATAAAAACAAAAGAAAGATGATTTGTTTAAATGCACACATGTTTATATACAATGGTACATTGTGTATGCTGTGAGCATACATACATACGTGTTAATAACTCTAGACTTTGGGCATATGGTTGGTTGTCCAGTAAACATAACACACACACACAAAAAATCAAATACACAAACGTAATAAAAATGCATAGCCAATAGGATTCAATTCTAAAAATAGAATATATTTCATTATTAAATGCATCCAAAAAGATTCACATACATCCATTAGACGTTACAAAAACAGAATGACTTATATACTAATATATTACTTAATAGAAAAATTGTCCGTTAGTTTAACAGATTTCATTGGTTATTTGGTATATACGATATTTCACTAAGAGATTCAGATTCAAACAATGAGAATATGTGTTGTGTTATACATACGTGTCATCTGCGATGATGACGTACATCTAAGTAATAATATTCGCACTGAAAATACATGATACATGTTATGTGTGGAAGAAAATGTGTTTCAATTCAAATTGAGAATAATGGAATTTATAATATAAACTAAATTAAGTAAAGCACATATAAAGCAGAGTATTCGAAATTAAGAAGTATTATTTATACAAGTGTTAATTAGAATTCGTCATGACGTCCAAGTGCCTCCCCGAAGTCTGTGGCTTTAGATCCAATGAAAACATCATATTTGTCAAGAATCTCATCCTTTGTTAGTTTTTCATCATTGTCGTTGTCGGCTTCATAGATTAAATGTCTAGCTTCAGTTTCGGCATGGTCAAAGTCCTTGGGAACAATCCAAGCTCTAACCTCTTCGCGGTCTAGGAAACCATCACCATCGGTATCACGGAATTTGGCAAATGTCTCTCTTTCGCTAATAATCCATTCGGGTTCTTCTTCGCCTTCATCGACGGGAGTGTACATATCGCCAATGTATTCATCAACGGAGATTTTACCATCCTTATTCTTATCAATGTCTTCGATAGTTTCGGTTAGAACAACATCGGCCATTACGGGACTGTCGACAGGATGCAAGAAATTAGTGAATTCTTCCTTGGTCAGAGCATCGTCCAGATTTTGATCGGCCACTGCCCAACGACGACGGTCACGAGTCAACATACTCTTGTACGAAATACCATTTTCTTCGTGTTCTTGTTCGTCTTTGGTTAAGCTATCCATAAATCCGTACACCTCCTTGCGATAAGCTTCCCATGTAATTGTATCATTACCATCTGGATTATGTTGACGCCATTGACGATCTACATCTTCATCGATATAACGTCTCTGTGTATATTCGATCCATCTCTTCAATTCAGATGGAGTCACAAATCCATCTTTATCCTCGTCTATTCTATCAACAATGAGGCCCAATCGTCTCTTACTCTCCTCGGGAGGCAATTGGTCGAAAGTTTTCGCCTCATCTTCGCCTAAGAATTGTTCATGGTCATATTGAGCGTTGTGATGGCCATTGGCAAAGTGGTCAACATGTTTGGAGTCATGTTCAAGAGGATTATGTTTTGGTACTTCATCCGGTTTCGGTACAGCGCACACAATTGCCGCAGATAGTAATAAAACTGTTGCTATTTTGAACATATTTCTTCCAGCAGCCTTAGACTTATAAAGACAAATCTGGTTGCACACTTCCTTTTTCGTTATTTAAGCAGGAAACGGAATACTTTGACGACAACTTCGATATACGTGTACTTTACGCGAGTGCTCTCATTTAATTGAGAAGATGATGCTGGTCTCCAATTTATTTGTTTTGTTCTAGACAGGGATCTGTAGTTCGTTAATAGAACAATCGATTTTGTGTCAGATAAAAAACCGATTACATCGATTATTTTCTTTAAGTAATATTTTCATCAAGGAGGTTTAAATAAAACGCATGATTTAGATAATCAATTTCAGCTTTTTTTATTACATTTTAAATAAATTACAATGGAATGCACAATTTTTATTAAATACTTAATGTCTGTTCCAGTACCTGCAATATAAAATTTTTTTTAATACGAAAGCAATATTTTTTTATGAAATCGAATAAAATAGTTAAAACCATGGTACAATTATTCAAGGTAGGCCATAGGAACATACATATAAATTACAATTTTTCGTAGCGTGACTGTGTGTGTAATGTTTTGAAATATATAACAAAATTTATTCGAGAATCTATTTCTTTGAAAATGAATTTTACAACATTTGTAAGAAAAATTTATGATTTGTTAATGAATCAACATGTAAATAATATCCCCAACTCGATTTTGAAACCTGACATTCCATTCATTTTTCGCGTTTTTGGTAAAATTTTAAAAATATTTCAAATGAACAGAACAGCTTGTTGTATTTGTTTTCACTTAATACGACATTATTGCCAAAAAATATTTGTTTGAAAATGAAAAGAAGAATTACAATAAATTTATTATTTCTGCAATGTTGTATTCATACGGAAAGTCAAAAAATCACCTAAAAACGCAAAAAAACAAAATTAGAAATAATTTTAAATATTTGATATGTTCCCGTACTGCAAACAAATATTTTTTGGCAATAATGTCGTATTAAATGAAAACGATGCAACAATTGGTCTGTTGCATCGTTGCATCTCATTAGTATCATGGTTTAAAATAAACCTTGCAGCGCGATGATTTAAATGTGTATGATAAATCATGGAAAATTCAGCCTTAAGAAAATAAACCCTGATTCCGCGTCTAATCCTGATTAAATGTTATATGTAAACCCACTTTAATACAATTCGAAGTATTAACTGCATTTACATTGCACTTTTTCGAGTTAACCTACTTCATGAGGATTTATATGACATATATAAATGGAACAGTTTAAACAAAATACCATACAATATAAACGTACTATTAGTAAGAACGAGGAATCTACTAGATTATACAGTTTTCTTCGATATTATAAAGAGTTCCGTTGTTTTTAAGTTTATCAATGTAAATTTTGCCATTTCCTTAATTAAGTCGATTTACAATCGTATATGTAAATGTACTTTAATTCTTTGAACGCCAGCTGTCCGCAAACCGCATTGTGTGCAAACGCTGACTCACGTAAACGCCCATCAGAGTTGCAGTGTTACCATATCGCTCAAATCTAGGTACAAACGAAAAATGCAACACTGCGTCAAACAAACAACGCTGTTTGAAAAAATCATTCATCTCACTCCATTCCTGTTGGATCCTTGTTGACATTCTCTTTGTTTTCATTTAAAGTTTATCTTCCTTAAGTGGTTGATGTACATTTTTCTACCGAATTAGAATAGGAAGTGTATGTTAAGTTAAAATTTCAAAGTTAATATGAAAGATTCGACAATGCATTTGATGGAGAATGAAATTTTATCCCGCTTACCGGTGCCCGAGATACGGGAGGAAACATTTCAACATTCCTACAAGCAGGTAGTGTTTACAATGCGTTTTATAGCACAATATCTATATAAATATTCTTGTGTTTTCTTTTGTGCAGGCCCACAGACGTGAGGATATGCGTATAAAACCTCCGAAACTGAAGCCTCGATATGATTCGAATTTCAATCGTGACCACACAGCTCATGCTATATCGTTTCGCGGCGATGATCCAGAAGGTGTGGCAGACTCTTCCCTACTTGGCTCTACGTACAATTGTTCGTTAAATGAGACCTATTTTGAACAGTGTTTCACCAGAGTGGCGAAAATTGGCGAAGGATCTTTTGGTGAAGTATTCAAAGTACGTTCCAAAGAAGATGGTCTTCTGTATGCCGTGAAAATGTCGAAGCAATTGTTTCGTAGTGATTTGTATAGGCAAGAACGTCTGGAAGAAGTTCGAAGATACGAGCAATTTTCAGGACATAAAAACTGCTTAAAATTCTATCGCGCCTGGGAGCAAGAAGATCGTCTTTTCATGCAAATGGAATTGTGCCGGGAGAGTTTAGATTCTTATTTGCAGCGTAAGCGCAACATACCCGAAGAAAAGATATGGTCAATACTCTTAGACCTGTTGTTGGCTCTGAAAAGCCTACATGATCGCAACTTGTTACACTTGGATATTAAACTGGATAATGTTCTGATTGGTGACGATGATAGCTGTAAATTGGCAGATTTTGGTTTGGTTATTGACGTGGACCGTGCCAACAAAAATCAGGCAACGGAAGGTGACTCTCGTTATGTGGCGCCAGAAATAATGCAGGGCAATTTTTCAAAGGCTGCCGATATATTCAGTTTAGGCATTGCAATGCTGGAGCTGTCGTGCTATTTAGAGCTTCCAGCTAATGGTCCTCTGTGGCAACAACTACGAAGTGGTATATATCCTGATGATTTCTTGCAAAAGATATCAGAAGAATTACAAAATATAATTAAGGATATGATGACACCTGATCCCCATAGGAGACCAACTGTGGATGAGTTGCTAAGTAACAAACGCTTTGTGACGATGTTGCAGAGAAGGCGTCATTGGGAGCTAGTAAATAATATTGTAAGTATTCAAACATATCTCATATTACCACGGTAATAGACATTTTAATTATTACTTTCGTTTCAGAAACAAGTTCTTCGAAAATCACGTCGTCTGGCCTGGTCAAAACTGTGCAATTTAAAAAACACTGTCTTCAAAATATTTACCAGCATACTTACAGTTTTACGACTTCATGAATCTCCCGCTGACCAAAGCTCAGATACATATAGTGCACCAAATACCGTTGAAAAGAAACGACCACCCACATATCTACGTTCTCATCTAACAACATCAACTCCAACTATGAATTCCTCAAAGGCTAAGGCAAGAATTGATTTCCATTTCGATGATGATTTTGATTTTGGCCAACAGCATTCCACGCCATACAATCATCATTCCTCTGACAATAAAATGGTAAATTCTACTCCAGTTATTCACAATCACAGTGGTTTCCGTTCTCGCAGGGATTTAACGAAAACCTGTTTTAAGTAAGTTTAAATAATTTTGAAAATTTGGATTCTTTATTAAATTGACCATTTTTCTTTTTATGTTACAGTGATAACTCTGAGGTCACAGCATTGGATAAATCAACATTTCCTTATTTAGATGATTGTGACTCGGATGTATTACCCAGCATGCGTAAACCCCTAGATGTGTCTTCGGTGAGAGGCAAGAAGCTATTCAGTAAATTTGATGATGATACCGATTAGGCACTTAAACATTCCCCATGTAGTTCCTAGATCTTTTCTAGATTTGTTTGATTATTGTGTTTTTTATGAACTGTTAAATTGTATTTAGTTATTCTTTATCGCCTCCATTTCCTATCCTAACACATACCTACATATATTTTACTTATAGAATATGTTTATATTTAAGAATTATTAATTAATTTTGTTTTTTATCGCAATTTTTTCCTTTATACTTTTCATATATATATAAATTATATATAACAGTTAAATATGCCTATTATATATACGAGTGTATATAACACATAGGATTATATTGCTATATATGTGATATGTTATCATCAAAAGATATATATTTTTAAATAATATTGAAATTTGTATTTGTAATTTAAACACAAGCAGGGATTCTATATCAAATATCTTCCCTCCAAGTAATAAATGTAATCATCCCCCTATCGTTGATTAGTTAAGTTTTATGTTATTGATTTGATTAATCAAATTTATTCTATAAAAAAATATTTTTTTACCAAGTGTTTATTTCTAAAGCTAACAATAAAAAAGGATGTATAAATGAAACTGAAGATTTTGTTTTCTTATTGCACATATGATGCATATTTTATTATCAATAATGTTGAAAATTCCTATGAGAAATTGTAGCCAGGAAATGTCTATGTAAAATTCAGATTAAATTTGCTCAAATATAAAGGGTCAGATATGTTCACATACAGCCTACAATTTTCATTTAATTTTTATGAGATCGGTTTGTAGTATTGGTATTGGACATCTCACCTCTCTTTTGATATCGTTTTGAATTGGAATATGTAAACATCGATATTGTACGATATACATTACGATTTCAAAGCCTACTAATGAAAACTCCTTAATGTAGTCGACAATTTAATATTTTTCATGCACATTCTCATTTGTTTGAATGTGAGTTTTCTATTATTCTGGGAATATAACAGAATGAAATTTTGTCAAATTATAAACAAATCTCCCAAAACAAGAAAACATACAAAAAACAACAAAATACGAACATATTTTGCCTTGTATTCCTAAATACAAGGCAAAAAAATAAATCGTCAACTATAGACAAATAAATATTTTCCAATACAATTTTTTTATGATATTTACATTACCAATTTAATACATTTTATATATTGTAAGAATTGTTACTTAAATATAATGAACATATCATAACGGAAAACTGACTACTGTACTTGAACATGCTTGACAATTTCTCTACGTAGAAGAAATATAGTCGAATATAAAAATAACACACTGAATGATGGATATAGTGCCGATTAAACCAAAAGAAATCAATCAATCTATTTGTCATTAAATAATACAAACATGTGTTTTTTTGATAGAACATTTAAATTCCATCAGAACTCACGTAACCGTAAGTCATTAAATAATCTAATACGTGTTTAAATAGTTATTTCTTATTGTAGGATCTATTATTTTCAAATTGTCTAGGGTTGTTGTTATCACCCATGTTACAGGTAGATAGAAGGAAGACAAAGACTTCATAGACAAAGCAAAGTCATTTAAACGACATCACAGTCGCATTGTTACTCAAAAAAAAAAAAAAAAACATTACCTCGCTGAGTTGGTGATGACTGAACCAAACAACAATTCATTCAGTCAGAAAGACATGGAGTCGGCCAAAAAGATAGTTTAAAAATGTTTCGTTTTTTGGTATATTTCTGTGCAAAATTCACTTTCACTTAAAGGTGATTCAACTCAACAACAATAACAATAAAAAAAACTATTTAATGTTGTATGTACTTCAGTTTGGTGCTGCATACATATAAGCATTCTTTTTATTTATCATTGTATGAGTTTAGGCTTTTAAAGTCTAAATTGCACTTTTATCTTTTGTTGTTTGTAGAATTATAAAACGTTAATGGGATTTGGGGTATTTATGTACATACATAGTATGTATACCCTACATTTAATATTTTCGAGAGTTTCATGTGTTTTGTTTGCATAAAATATTTTGGGGTGGGATAACATTTTATATAAAAAATAAGGAAATTTTCTCTAATGAGTATATTACTTTTAACTTAATAAAATCAATAATATATATTGAAGAGTTTTATGTGTCTTGTTTGTCTTGAAGTATTAGGGGGTGGAATAACATTTTATATAAAATACTTTATCAAACGGATTATATTCTAATATTTGTTCTTTATTTAGGGTGGGATAGTTACTGTTTAGATATAGAAAATAAGCATCTGCATATGTTTTAAATATGAATTTTAACCCGGACACTACAGTATTATAGACAGGTATCCTAATTTACTTGCATTATTTTCCAATTTGTTATAGTTGATGTTTTCCCTAAAATGGCAGGGATTTTCCAGGGATTTGAAATATATTTTAATTTTGTAATCCCAGTAGTTATTATGTTTCGATGTAAAAAAAAAACAGACTAAAGTTGCAGATATTTTGCAGGTGTGTGCGGTATCAAATATTCGGCAACGCCAAAACATTGTCTTTTTTTAACTTGTTGTTTTTGCCTTTCGCGCTAATTCGCCTAAGCCTTTATCACAGTGACAAAGTTGCAGGTAAATGATAATGACAAAACAATTTGGTGCCACCAGTTTATAACATATTGTGTAATATGGTTTTGTTGTTGCGGGTAACAGTGCTGTTATTTTTCCAACTCCGCGTTCTCAATACTACTGTAAAGTAATTTGAATAACCACTAGATTCCCAATTTCGAAAACTGTGACAAAATATATTCCGTTTCTGTTTTGTTTCCAGATGATATTTTAATTAATTTACTATTGTCTCCAATATTCATGATCATGGCTGTAAAAAAGCACCAGCATAAACTCCTCGCCTTAGTCATACAAACAAGGAGTGCCCGCCCAGTATAACAATCAACCACCAAAGACGGAATCTTGCAGATGATGATAGCGAAAGTAGTTTGACTATGACGACTAGTAGGATACGTACATGCATATGTATGGGTGTGTTGTTTTGATTGAAATTGTATAATTGTGTGGGCGTTCTGTTTGCAATGGCCTGAAGCAAAAACGAATGATTTAGAAAACATGCGTTCAACATTTTATGGACCATTGTAATTGATGAAGGTAGAGTAGTAGTTATTTTTAATATCATTAATCAAATATTGGGAGGTTGGGCAATAAACGCCATACTACAAATAAACTAAAATAAAAGAAAAAAAAAAGAATATCGTAAAATAAATTTCGATATATATATATTTAAATGATATACTCAAATATTTTAGAAATCCTTTTATAAAATTAATTAATTATAATTATTTTTTTATTGAATTTATCATTTAAGAATTAAAGGCGTCAACTATTGATACAATTAAAAACACCCCTCTGTGCATTTTAACGGACTTATGTTTACGATGTGGGTTGTTAATTAACCCTTATCACCCGAAGATCTTTTAATAATTTGAGGGAACACCCCATTCTAAATTTTAAAATTTTGTCGATTTTTAAATGGCTTTCAAATTTGAAAATCGCCAAATTAGTCTTATTATCCCATTTGCAATTTTGAGAAATCGAAGCCAAAAGTTAAAAACTTCCTTTTTACTGGTGTTCACTGGGCATGTTAATGTAAATTTTGTCGACAACTGAAAAAGCTAGCCAAAATGGTTTAGGCAGATAAAGAACACGATTTGCATGTAAAAAAATTGCTTGCGGACGGGAAAATTTTTAAATTTAGGATCATAAACATCGCCCAAAAATTAACAAAATGCCGGGCCTAAAACAATTTCACTTTTGGAAATTTCCCTATTTTTGACTATAAACAAGGTAAAAAAAGTAAGGAAGATATTGACCGATTACATTTACCCTAGCTATGTATGCATATACAGAAAAGCGTGTTAAAGGTGTTTAGCACGGATTGAATTATTAGTTTTTGAGTTATCGTGGCCGCCATTCGTAAAAATACTATTTCGAGAAAAAGGGTTCAAAGTTTGAGAAGCACTCTTGCCGTCACTTGAAGCTAACACAAAAAATTGGCTATATCATTAAGAGTTGTTGAGATTTTGACTTGACTCATTTTGACTTGAAAAACTCATTTTTTAAATCGAGAATGGTCAATAGCCGATACGCCAGTGGTTCACTTACTGAGAGCTGAAGTAGAGTGGGATCTCCAAAGAGATTTTGAAAACCAGCGGCATCTGCCTAGTGCCAAAAGTGCTAAGTACAGAGAGACCCTGGATAGGAAGGCATGCATAGGGCCATCTGCCACCTTATGTCATCTTAGCCCAGTGTTTGAATGCAGTATTACTGCTACAACAATAACATCAATGGGAGCTGTTCCAACTGGAGCCAACCTTGCTCAAAGCAATGACAATGAAGAGAAGACATTGAGAGGGAAACAGCAACATGATTCTAAGAAGCCATTGTTGTTGCCGACTGTCCATCCATCTGTCTCTTATGTATCGGTAGCGGCTATGAAGTGTAATGGGAAAGCTACCACTCGAAAGATGAAAGTCGAACAAGTCTTCGCTGCCAACACACCGAGATGATTCCTTGGAAATGTGATATATTCGTCCCATATTTTTTTACTGCCCACACAGCTCCGGTAGGTTAGGTTAAGGGATAGATGGATGTTTTTTACAGACCAAGTTTATAACAAAGTAGAAAAAAATATTTATTTTAGCCATGTCAAAGTTAAGGATCTGCTTGGGATCTATTCCGGAGAAGAATGCTAGATTATTATTATCATATATACCAAACTGTCTGTGTCTTCTGCTAGTAAGCGATGGACACCTACAGAGTATATGTTCAGTTGTTTTCAGCTCTTCCTCATCCTCGCATAGACGGCAATAATCCACTCCGTTAATGTCCTATTTAGAAGTGAGACATGTAATACTGCAGTGACCTATTATGATTCCCATAATGATTTCTATCTCCCTCTTACTACGAGACAACAGCGAAGAAGTTCTACGGCAAGGAAATTAAGGCCAGATGATTTTTGAAATCCTGCACCAGGTCCTGTTGACCATCTATCTCGTAGTACCGGTTTTG